CCACGAGACCAGTTCGGATATTCGTGAGTGGGATGCGAACTCGCGGGTCCCCGAGTTCTCTAAGCGCAGCGCACTAACCACTACCGCTCCCCACGCAGCAGACGGAGGGGATGAGAGCCAGAGCGGAATGCGCGACAGGCAGGCAGGTCGCGTCGTGAGCCATTCCGTTTAGCGTTTAACATTTGCGAAGCAATGACCATCGTTCTCCACCCCTCGCCCGCTCCCCGCCCCATCATGTTTCTAAGCCCCCCCCCCATGTTTCTGAGCCCCCCCCCCCCCCCGGTATGGACGCTTTACATGGAGGCAGCGACCTCCTTGCGCTCCGGGGGAGACGAACAGGAATTCAGTGTCGCGTCTATGAATAGAAAGGCGAGGGTGTTGGTTGTGTGGTGTTGTGCGTGTGGAGGGGGCGCCAGTGTAGCGATTAGCGGCGCTGCGCTACGAATCTGGCCACCCGGGTTCGATTCCCGCTTGCGGTCGGCACCAGTGACGAGTATCTGAATCGGTCCTGGGCCTCCCCTAGGTCGACTCAGACTCAAATGAGTACGAGGTTACCGTGCGTTAACATCGCCATTAGGGAGGCAAATGTGGCTGGGCGTGGTGTTAGCCACACCACCCACGCCTTCGTGTGCCGTGCCGGCCTTCACAGGTGCTCGCTCACAGCACTTGTCCCAAACGTCTAAGGCTACACGGGGGATCTTTGTCTTTGGAATGGAGAGGGAGGGATGCCTCACTCCAGACATGGTGCTCCCCATGACGAATAAGGGAGGTAAGGCCGGGTTATGTTGGGAACTGAATTGTTTTCGGGGTTAGTCTTAGATCACTTTTGTCAATCCATTATACTGGACGAGGGCCTTTCAATGCCCTCTTGGTTATGATGGTTGTCTGAATCATATTTCACCACGCTGGTCATTGCTGGTTGGTGAAGTAGGATGGGGGCGGGGGGGGGTCAGACAACACTCGCCACTGATGATAGCCGTCGCCGGGAATCGAACTCGGGTTTCCGGATTCCCATCGCGGGGCCCAGCACCCACTGCGCTACCGCCCCGTCCGAGACACGAAGCAACATTTCCACACGGAGCTCTGGCAGCGAGCAGCGAATGGTCACCTTGTGTGTCAGAGCACAGCTCAGGAAGATGGCATCACGGAACGGACTGGGGGGGGTCCCTTCAATTGGCCTCTCAACCCGCCCTACAAGGTGACTGCTGATGCACAAAATAGTCTCCGAAGCCAATCATCGGCGGCACGGGACCCCGCTCCGTATTCCAGCCCCGATCGTTTATTCGGCAGTGGTTCTTCACTGCAAGGCCCGCGGGCCGCTGGCTGCCCCTGGTGGCCTTTAGCGCCCGGCCTCTGACATGCGCCCCCCCCCCACCTCCCCCCGGATAAGACACATGTGAACCCCCCCTCCCCCAAATCATCGTGCTGTCAAACCCCAATAGTTTCAAATGTTTCGTCGGAAATCACACTGATTGATATCTTATCGGCGAAAGTACCCCCACATCATTGAAAATGAGTAAAGAACACGAGTTTATTACACGTGTGTGTGTGTCTGCGCGCATCCCACACACCACGTCCGTTATGCCTCTAGCTATGGGTCCAAGTGACGTGCAGCCGAAACCAGCGACCCGGAACATATATATACAGTGCTGAGAAATCAGTCTTTAAGTGGTTCTACTGTGAGTATGCGAGTGATACACTAGAACTGTGTGTGTGTGGGGGGGGGGGGAGAGGTGGAGCGACGCTCACAACAACGAGCGGAGCGTGCGGCGATTAAACGCGCGCGCAGCAAGGCCGCGTTGCGAGGAGCAGAATGTGGTGCATGTGCCGGTCAGAGATAGTCCATATCACCAAGGTCTGTCCCGTGAGCTTCTGCCAGAGGGGCATTCAACACGCAGAGTGGCATCAAAGCGCACAAAGCCTGGCACAAACGCCGCCGTAACGTCAGCGACACGATCATTGATATTGTATATCTCGGTGTCTGTATATACTGTGTGTGTGTATATATACCGTATATGCAGGGGACTGGCGATGATTATTTGCACCGGTCCTGGACCTCCCCTAGGTCAGCTCCGCCTCAAATGAGTTGTTAGTGCGATGTGTGAACATCGCCGCTCGAGAGACAAAGGCAGCCGGGCTATGTGCCACCCACCCCCTCGTGTGCCGTGCCAGCCTTCATAGGTGCTCGCTAACAGCACCTGCCCAATCAGCATGTGTAAGGTATACGGGAGCTCCTTGACTCTGGCAAATGTGCAAATGTGTTGGTATGTCTTTATTACGATGATGATGGTAATATACAAAATGAAACAAATTATTTACTGATGCAAGCAGCACAAATAACAAAATAACTTAATACAAATGCACCATGAAGATGGACCATTGCCCGAAACGTCGCATATCGTACCTTTTGAGGCCACAGCGTTGTCAACGAACGCGTCGAGTCTGCTGCTGTTTTGTATTTCCGTTTGTTGCACTTCCCCCCAGCAACATCCGATCGGCACTGTTGACTACGTACGGCGCGAAAGAAGTTCACCACACAGTGCGCACGTGCGAGCGTGGCGTCGTGCCCCAGTTGGTTTAGAGCGCCTGTCTGGTAAACAGGGCTCCTGCAGGGGTCGAATCCCAAGCGGTGGTGCCTGGAAATGTCAATACCGTCGTTGTTTGAGGGGGGGGGGCGGTAGGGTCGTGGTTTGGGGGGGGCGCGGTAGGGTCGTGGTTTTGGGGGGGCGCGGTAGGGTCGTGGTTTGGGGGGGCGATAGGGTCGTGGTTTGAGGGGGGCGCGGTAGGGTCGTGGTTTGGGGGGGCGCGGTAGGGTCGTGGTTTGGGGGGGCGCGGTAGGGTCGTGGTTTGGGGGGGCGCGGTAGGGTCGTGGTTTGGGGGGCGCGGTAGGGTCGTGGTTTGGGGGGCGCGGTAGGGTCGTGGTTTGGGGGGGCGCGGTAGGGTCGTGGTTTTGGGGGGGGCGCGGTAGAGTCGTGGTTTGGGGGGGCGCGGTAGGGTCGTGGTTGGGGGGCGCGGTAGGGTCGTGGTTTGAGGGGGGCGCGGTAGAGTCGTGGTTTGAGGGGGGGCGCGGGTAGGGTCGTGGTTTTGGGGGGGGGCGCGGTAGGGTCGTGGTTTGGGGGGGGCGTGGTAGAGTCGTGGTTTGGGGGGGGCGCGGTTGGGGTCGTGGTTTTGGGGGGGGGCAGCGGTAGGGTCGTGGTTTGGGGGGGGCGCGGTTGGGTCGTGGTTTGGGGGGGCGCGGTAGGGTCGTTGGTTTGGGGGGGGCACGGTAGGGTCGTGGTTTGAGGAGGGCGCGGTAGAGTCGTGGTTTGAGGAGGGCGCGGTAGGGTCGTGGTTTGCGTGACTGCGCTACGATCTCGGCGACTGCGCTCGATTCCCGCTCACGGCCAACATCAGTGGCGATTATCCGAACCGGCCCCCTGCCGGGTTCTCGCGCTGGGTCGGTTCCACATTGCATGCGTACCCGACGCGGTGAGTTAAACATCGGGGAGACAAAGGCGTTCGGGCGTGATGCTGTCCCCACACTGCCATTCCCTTCACAGGCGCTCGTTCACAGCAACTCGCCCAAACAGTCTGTAAGGGCTACAGGACATGTTGTGTTTTTGCTCCTTACACGTGTAGAGGTGTTACGGGAGGGTGACACGCGGTTGTAGGGCGGTGGCCACAACCACGTCCGCTACGGCCACCACCCTGGGGGGCTGTGGGGGACGCTGTGATCCCTCCCAGCCCCACCCCTCAGTGAGGGACAGTATAAAAGGTGGGACCAGGGGAGCTGAGGGGCAGTTCGACTCGAGCAAGATGAAGAGACAGTGAAGAAGGAAGATCGACTAGCCAGACCCTGGAACTCCTTTGACCCGCTGTCCTTCTGAGGGCCGGGCAGAGCAAGCCAGGGTGCGACACCAGAGCCGCGAGGGCCGATGTCCTTCTGAGGGCCGGACTCGTGTGGCTGGTGATCGGGACCTGCGCCGAAGCTGGGCCAGGTCAGACAGCCTCCTGAGAGAGGACCAGGATAGAGGGAACCAGGGGGCTAGCGTGGGCTAAAGCTCGGGAAACGTTCCCCTCTGTAGAGTACGCGTGAAGAGGCCGTTACCTCTTCAAGTATCAGATTAGCCACTGTAATTGAAGCGTCTGTAATAAATACGTGTTGCCTCCAATGAACAGTCTCCGACGTCAATAAAGCCACTACACACGCATCGTGTGTGAACGTGTCTGCCTGTGTCATTACGTTGGGAGCTGTGGTGCAGCGCACTGCACAACGAAACCCGGCGACCCAAGTTCGATTCCCGCACACGGCCAACGCCAGTGACCAATATCTCAACCGGTCCTGGGCCTCCCTTAAGTCGACTCAGCCTCAAATGAGTACCTGGTGCGGTGTGTGAACATCGCCACTGGGGAGACAAAGGCGGCCGGGCATGGTGCTGGACACCCACCCCCTCGTGTACCGTGCAGGCCTTCATAGGTGCTCGCTAACAGCACTTGTGCCCAAAAAAGTATATTGAGTCTATACGGGGGATATAATAGGGGTTTTCCCCTTTTTCTGGCAACAAAACTGAAACCTTTTTACAAGGATTAATTTCTGCATTAACCACAATACCTGCAGTCAAAATGCAAAAAAAACCACTGATAATATATGCATTGTCCTTGAAACTGATTGGTCCACACCAAGGGACGGCTTTCTTTTGAGCCTCCACCCAATTGGTGCTCGACCAGGTGACGCCAAAAGGCGGTATTGTGGTTAATGCAGACATGAATCCTTGTAAAAAGGTTTCAGTTTTGTTGCCAGAAAAAAGGGGGAAAACCCTATTATTACATTTTGGTACTGGCAAAGGAGGTCTAATGATATACGGGGGATCTTTGTCTTTGTATATGGGGGGGGGGGGGGGGTGACGATGCTGACGTCACAACAATCTCCCCCGAGAATCCCTCCCTCCCCCCCCACGCCCCTGGCCACCCCTACCCCCCTTGGGGAGCGTGGCCGCCTATTTTAAACCTCCCCGAGCTGAAATTCTGATGACCAGCGAGGAGCTCTCCAGACCGCGAGGCCGACTCCCCACGGCCGTCAGTGCAGCGCTTAGCAGGGCGACACGAGCAGCCATTCCATCATCATCGTCGTCATCGTCATAATCATCAACGTCATCATCCTCAACATCTTCAACATCGTCAGCAACACGGGGCATTTGCATTAAAAAGGCCACGTGGTGCGCGTACGGGGAGACAAAGCTGAAATAAAGTTGGTGAATTTACTGCTGCTGCTGTTTCCAATTGACGAGAGACAGAGACGGCAGAGACAACGACAACAACAACAAGAATAAGAAATATATAAGAGAAAAAAATCAATCAAGACCATCCTCGTCGTCGTCGGCGATACGGACTAAGGAGAGAACACGTGCGCCGCCGCCGCGTACGGGGAGACGAATTGAAAGTTGGTGAGTCTGCTGCAGTTGCTGTGTTCACTTCCACGGGAGAGGTATTTAGCAGACAATGTGTCAGCATCGCGAGTGACGGGGAGAGGCGGCGAGAGTTCGTGTGGATGCCTTCGTCCAGCAGTGGATTAACCATGGCCGACGATGGTGATCGGACAAAACCACTATCGTAGCGTTATAGAGACGACCGCATTTTTAGCGAGACCAAGGGCAGCTGACGAAGGCAAAGGTGGCTGTGTGCTCGGCTCTGTGCGAGTCTCTTTACAATCTCAGTTCTATAATTAGCGTAATGTATAACCGCTGCTGTTTGTAGAACTTGTTTGACCATACTTCACCACGCTGGTCAGTGCGAGTTGGTTGAAAAGATCACGGACCGGTTCAGACACCACTAGCCGCTGATCGTTAGCCGCCATCGGGAATCGAACTCGGGTTCGATCCCGACGTCGAGTTCTTCGAGAAGTCCGCGCTAACCACTGCGCCACCACTCCCCCCGCCCCGAGTCTCTTCAACGACGCATAAAGAGAGACAAAGACGGATACAAATAGAAGCGACGATCGGGGGGGTGGGTTTGGATCGAGCGAGGGGACTCAGTGAGGATCCCGTTAGGACCCCATATTAATAATGTAGGGCGCCTGCTGCCCCCCCCCCACCCATCCCGAGCGAGATGTCAATCGCGTGAGCTCAGCGCCTGTTTATAGACGCGGCCTCCTTGCGTCACGCGCCTGTTTTAGGGGGCAGCGCGTAAGGAGGTTTGGGGGGGGGGGGGGGCGAGGGAGTGCAGGGAGCTGCCCACGTGCAGCCCATTTTTGTCGATTCACTGCTGGATGACGGCCTCGTCTCGCAGGTCGTGGGGATTACGTGACCCCCCCCCCCGCCCGTCCCCATATTTCACCACGCCGGTCGTCGCGCGCTTTCAGACGTGCGGCCGTCTGGAACGCTCTTCCTTACCGATACGAGGAAGCCACCTGGAGCTATATGGCACCTTTAAATGAAGGTCGGAAACTAATTTATTTTTAGAACTGCTTTTTTTTTGTTTAGTTTGTTGTACTTCCCACGCACCTCCGATTGGCTACGTACGGTGCGAAAGAAGTTCAACATACCTACGTTGGCAGCAGTGTCGAGAAGTACAACGAGTTTATTCTCTCACTGCCATGCAGCATGTAGCCTCGTCGCAGCCTATGACAGGTTCCACGTTTACTGGGATATGTCTTCAGCTTACGTGGTCTGACGCCATCGGAGGCGTTCGCGGGTGATATGATCTCCAGGCTTTGGGAACTGGCCATACAAAAACAAACCAATCATACAACAGATTACACAAACACACAGAGACAAAGTTCCCCCGTGTAGCCTTAACAGACTGTAGGGGCAAGTGCTGTTAGCGAGCACCTATGAAGGCCGGAAGGGTACATGAGGGGGTGGGTGGCCAGCACCACGCCCAACCGCCTTTGTCTCCCTAGTGGCGATGTTTACACACCGCACAAGGTACTAATTTGAGGCTGAGTCGACCTAGGGGAGGCCCAGGTCGGGTTCAGATAATCGTCACCGGTGTTGGTCGTGAGCAGGAATCGAACCTGGGTCGCCGGATTCATAGCGCAGCGCGCTAACCGCTGCACTACCGATCCCCACAAACACACGCAAACACACACGCACGCACACACACGCACACGTGGCCTTCTTGTCTCGCCATTCACAGGGGGCACCGCGGCTCGGGTTGAGTTGGCGAGTGCCTATTATGGCAATGTGCAGACGTTCAAGATATTTGTGCGCGTGGAAAGCAGTAGCCTAAATGAAGACACTCCACTGCTGGATGGAGACCTCCCCACGCCGTGCAGTGGGGAGGCCTTCACCTGCACGTGTTAATAGGATGGGTGAGTGACGAGGATGGATGTGTGAGGATGAGTGTGTAATGAGGATGGCCGAGTGATGATGACGAGTGAGCGAGTGGTTAAGGAAAACTCCAAAGGATGAGTGAGTGAGGTGGAGTGAGTGCGTGAATGAGGACCGGTGTAGTTGAGGAACGTGGTGCGTGTTCGGTGAGGATGAGCGAGTGAGCGAGTCCTCAGGAGGAGGTGCTGGCTGATGGTATGGGGGAAGAGACTAAGGTCTGAACGATTTGGGGGAAATATCTATCAGATTGAGATTTGATTTGAGATTCAAAATGTTTAAGTCAAGCTTCAGTTCAATATTAACTGTGTAATAGATTTAAAACATGTGATGGAGCATGTCCACATGATACCATCAAAATATAAACTGCTCTATATATTCTAATGCAAGGATGAGAACTTAAACGATATGAATTGCTTCCAAAATGTATTTATTAAAATGTTTTAATTGAAATAGAACAATCAAACATGGAACAATTGTTATGTTAAATAAAGAAAGTTATAATAATACAAATAAAACAATTCCAATAAGAAAGTAATAGGACTTTTCAAATCGCAAAAAATCGCAGCCTTTTCGATTTGCTCATCGCATTGTTTCAAATTGAGATTTCGATTTGAAATCGATTAATCGTTCAGCCCTAGAAGAGACGCACCAGGCACGAGCGCATGAACAAGGCGACAGGTTCCCACGATCTCGGGCGAATTCAAAGATCCGATGTTCCGACCCGTGCGCTCGAGGCAAGGAAAATAATGATCAGACACCTCTCCCCTCCCCCCCTCCAGTGAGTGCGATCGTGTAAACTCTTCCAGTAAGCACCAAAAGACAAAGATCCTCCGTGTAGTCTTCACAGACTATGGGGGCAAGTGCTGTTAGCGAGTAGCACCTATGAAGGCCGGCACGGCACGCATCACTCAGCGCACACTTGACCGAGCACCCTCCCTCCCTCCACCGCTCGCCACCGTCCACGCAAAGCGATGACCCCCATCTCCCCACCTTCTCTCTGGACCACCACCACTTGCCACCCACCCCATCCCTCTCACCCGCACCACTACCCACGTACGGCTCGGCACCCACCCACACGGCAAACCCCTCCCGCTGGCTAAATACGGGGCCCCGCACTCCACTCCGCACTAACGCCGCCGCCGCCGCCTCCTCTCGCTCCCAGGACAGCCGACCCCGGCCATGGCCTCTACATTCGGCGGGGCTCCGCGGTTCCTCTCGCGGCCGCGGGCCCCGCGTGGCCTCGTCCTGGGCGCGGACGCCACCATCAACTGCAAGATCGCGGGCGAGCCGGCGCCCGTCGTCCTCTGGGAGAAGGGGGGCGAGCGGCTGGGCGCGGGGGGCCGCTACCGGCCCTACGAGGACGGCGACGGCGGCTACGGCCTCGTCATCAGCGAGGTGCGCGGCGACGACAGCGGCCTCTACACGTGCCGCGCCTCCAACGGCGTGGGCGAGGCCTACATGGCCGTGACCCTCAGCGTGCCGGCGGCGGAGGGACCGCCGGGCGTGACCCCGTCCATACGGACACCGCCACCAACACGGACACCGCCAACCACAGAAACACCGCCAACAACACGGACACCGCCAACCACAGAAACACCGCCAACAACACGTACACCGCCACCTTCACGAACACCGCCACGAACGCGAACACCGCCAACCACACAGACACCGCCACCACGGACTCTGCCCACTCAATCTCGGCCGACGTCGACGTCGGCGCCAACTCCGAGCCACGCCCCGAGCCGGACTCGTCCCGCGTTCGAGTCGGCCCCGCGCTCGGTGCGCGTCCGCGCCGGTCGCGACGCCGCCTTCTCGTGCCGCGCGTCCGGCCAGCCGCGGCCCCGCGTGTCGTGGGAGAAGGGCGGCCGCGCCATTGACCACGACGCGGACGGGGGCGGCCGCTACGCGGTGAGCGAGTCGGCGACGAGCGACGCGGCGTGCACGGCGTCCGTGCTGCGCGTGTACTGCGCTCGCGCGGCGGTCGACGCGGCCGAGATCGTGTGCCGAGCCGCGAACGCGGCCGGGGAGGTGACGGTCATGGTGAGGCTCGAGGTGGACGAGGAGGAGGTGGCAGACGACGTGGAGGAGAAGGGGTCTCGTCACTCGAGGCGAGAGCCCTCGCGGTCACAGGGCAGCTCGGCGTATCCGCACGCCAACGGCGAGAGGAAAAGTGGCGGTTACGAGGAGCGAATAGGTGGTGGTGATGGTGGTGATGATGATGATGACCACGAATGGCGGAAGCAGAAGGAAGAGGAGGAATACTTTTCGCCTCGGTTACTCGAGGCCAAGCGACGGATGGAAGGTCTGGGTCTGGAATTGAAGAAACTCCGCGACGGGAGCGCGTGCGGGCAAGACGACCTCATCTCGTCCGCACATCGGCATCACAAGCAGCAGCAACAGCAACATCATCGCCACCGCCGTCATCAACGTCACCACGAACAGCAGCAGCAGGAGCAGCCGCCCGTGAAGCCCATGAGCTACACCATCTCGGAGGGGAAGCACGCCAAGTTCAGCTGCAACGTGACGGGCAAGCCGAGGCCGCGCATCGTGTGGAAGAAGGAGGGACGCGAGCTGGGCGAGGGACGGCGCCACCTCCTCTACGAGAGCGACGAGGGCCTCTTCGTGCTCAAGGTGCTGTACTGCCGCGCGCGCGACCAGGGCCTCTACACCTGCGAGGCCTCCAACCGCGTCGGCTTCACCTACAGCGCCGTGCAGCTGCACGTCAGAGGTTCGGGAACCCCTCGTCCGCTCCGCGCTGCGTGTCTTGTCCCGTCCGTTATTATAAAGTGGGGGGGGGGGGGCAGGGTCGCCCGGTGGGGGGAGCAAAAGGGGGCAATTGTCCCTGGGCCTCGCAGTAAAGAGAGCCCTACAACGGTGCCAGTTGTATCGTCGTTGATGGATAAGGGGCCGGCGTGGCACCCGGTCCCGGACCTCCAGGAACCTCTGGGCCGCTCTGTAGACGGGCGTGCTGTCACGTTCTGACCCGCCCCTACTGGACATCTGTGGTGGAGAAAAAAAGCTTTATAGCTCATCGGATTCCTCCAGTATAAACGCTTGATCTGATTCTGACCTGTTCCACTGTATGGCTCACTGAGCTGCCCCCTAACTAAGCAATCGAATGTACGTTTTTGCCATTTCTTAAATCGCCGTGAGCGAGCGCCTACCTGAGGGGCATCTGTTGCGTTCCGTCTGCGCGCCTCCCGCTCCTCGCTCTCGCGAGTGCTTCGCCGACCGTGTGCTCTGCCGGCTTGGGTAGGCGCTCGCTAACAGCGACTCCGTGGGCTCCCCGCTCCTACGCCTCAGAGCCGCCGTGCCCATTCCGGAGCCGGCTGCGCGACATGGAGGCGCGGGAGGGCGGCGTCGCCACCCTGGAGTGCGAGGTGGCGCGCGCCGGGGACGAGGCGGCGTGGTTCCTGGAAGAGCGGCGGCTGGGGCACTCGGAGAAGCACGCCGTGGAGAGCTCGGGCAAGCTGCGCCGCCTCGTCGTGCGCGACCTCGGCCCCGACGACGACGGGGTGTACGTGTGCGAGACCGCCGACGGGAGCCGCACCGTGGCCGAGCTGAGCGTCACAGGTGGGCCGCAGTAGAAAGGGTGGGGCAGGGGGCCTGTGGGGCAGGGTGGATGGAGCGGACGCCCCGGGCGGGTCCCGCCTCCCTCCTCCTTTCCCTGTCCCCGAATGGGTAGCCACATTTTTGGGAACGAAGCGAGCAAAGCGGCGGCTCAAATCGTTGGTGGGGCGGTGCCATTGTAGCCATAGGGGCGTCAGGGTGGTTTCAGGCACCGGCAACCAAGATACCTGCTCGATACGGCTCTGAACCATTAGGGCCGCAGTGTTGTAACGTGGAGTTTATGTTTAGTGGTTCCTCGACTCCGTATCACAGTTTCAGAGAGGCTCCGTATCACGGGTCTAGGCTACATAAAAGTTGTCGGTGGAGGGGGGATGGGTGCCTGGTCTCCACCGCAGACTGCTTCGGGCCTCAATTCAAAAAGTGGTGGCCTCATACGGGGGCCTCCCGTGCCATTTTGCCCCAAGCCTCCAAAAAAAAGACTTTGCCAGTCCCATGCGGCCAGTCGGTACTTTTACCTTTACTCGACTTTACACCCCTGCACTCACCTGCGCTCACCCGCGCTCGCCTGCGTTTTCGCCCCGGGCAGGTAAGATCGCGAAGCGGCTGCCCCGGCGGGTGAAGGTGGCGGCGGGCGGCGGCGCCGTGCTGGAGGCGGAGGTGGCGCGCTCCGGCGGCCAGGTCCACTGGCTGTGGGCCGGCCGGGAGGTGCGGCCGGAGGCCCACGGGGAAGGGGACGACCCCCGCGCCCGGGCCGCGATGGACGGGGCGAAGCGGCACACGCTCACCCTGCACGCCCTCGAGCTGCGCGACAGCGGCCCCGTGGTGTTCGTGGCGGACGGATCGCGGTCGACCGCGCAGCTCCTCGTCGTGGGTGCGGACCGACTGTCGTTATCGGCTGTTGTCGTCTTCGTTTAGTTCATCAGCAATAACGGCATCATAGAAATAATAATGGTCGTTGTCATAAATAATAATAATGGTCGTTGTCATCGTCACCAATCTCATCATCGTCATCAATTGCTTCATTTTTCATAGTTGTGCCATCGTCGTCATCAGTTATTGTCATTATTGATACAATAACATCATAATAATCATTCTCATCATCATCAGTAGCATGATCACCAATAAAAAGAAGCAGCAGCATTTTAATTATTTACATTCGTAGTTCGTATCATAACAAACATCATCGTCATCATCACAGTCATCATATTTGATTTTAATTAGATTTGTCCCCATTGTCTATGGTGGATCATCACCATCATCAAAACACGTTTACATTGTCATCACATCTTCCATAATTGTAATGATCAGAAGCGCAATCATGACCCCCCATTTCCAGAATCGAAGGAGCGGAGAGACGCAGCTTGCAAACAGAACGGCGACGCAACCTCCGTGTCGCGACCACTCGACAACGACATCGACGGGATCAACGACATCGACAACAACAACAACAACAACGACAACGACGACATCGTCAACATCAGCGGCAGCGGCGGCAGCATGCTGCCCACGCTGGGCGAGCTCACGGACACGAGCGTCACCGTGCGCTGGACTCCGCTGCCGGACGCGCGGGGCTACGCGGTGGAGCGGAACGCGCTCGGCCGCCCCGAGTGGCTGCGCTGCCACGCGGAGGAGCTGCTCACGGAGCCGTGGCTGCGCGTGCGCGTCCCCGAAAGCGCGGAGTACCGCTTCCGCGTGTTCGCGCTGCGCGCCGGAGCCCTCCCCGGCAGCTGCGAGGCCGTGCCAGGCACCGCGACGCTCGGTGAGAACGCGCGGCGGCGAGCGAACCCCTTGGGCCGCCGGTTTCGGTGGCCTCCCCGCGACTATCCGTGGTTTCTCGCGGCTCCCTCCGTGTGAAAAGTGCGTGCGTTACAAATTCTGCACTGTGTCTTGAGATGCAACGTGACGTGAATGACGCTTCGTAAAAATTATAACATTAATCGCTAAATTATATATTTTTCCCGTCTGTTGGTTACTGACGTAATCTGCACAGATTTTGTAATTGCTATTGCCTCGTGTGTGGGATCTCTCCGGGTACTCCGGTTTCCTCCCATACACAGAAATACCCAATGAGGCATTGGCGAAACATCCTCACCAGGGCACGCTCCTTAAAAGGTGTCCCGGGACTCGGTGCGGACATTCTGGACAATAACGGACGTTGTCATTCTCGCTGGAATAGTTCACGCGTTGAGAATTTCCCAGTGGAAATTTGGCCGCATAGATGACTCTGTAGAAGCCAACAACAGTGGGGTTTCATCTCCATTGAGCTGCGTGGAAACAAACGTAGAGTCAATATCAAACCACCGCATGACTTTAGCCACTCAGCTTACAATCGGCGTGTCCTGTGATGACATTAGTCACCGACTGGGTTTGGAATCAGCGTTCTTTCCAATACGCAAAACGCTCCTTCATGGAGTTGGCCAAACATCCATTAGCAGGACCCTTATGAAAGACAATGTTTCATCTCAGGTTGATCTGGATAAATGAATAAATAGCATTCTCTTTTATTATTACAATTTATTGATAAACTTTGGGTGGAGCATTTGCACGATGGTTCGCGCACTTCGCCATGAACCTGACGACCCGAGTTAAATTCCTGGCCACGGCTAACATCAGTGGCAGGTGACATCCGAACCGGGTCCTACGCACCCTTCCAACACTTCACCAACCCTCAACGACCAGCGCGGTGAAGTACAGTCAAACACACCCACAGGAGCGACACATTGCGTTGACGCCATAGTCCAGCAGTTAACAGTCAACAAATCGTGCACCATCGCCGCCACCCCCGTATGCCCCGTGTCTCCCTCCTCCAGCCGTGGAACCGGTGGTATTGCGGGCTCCACACGACCTCCGGGTGAGCGAGGGGCAGGACGCCGAGTTCCGGGTGGAGCTCTCACCATCCTCGTCATCCTCACCATCCTCGTCATCCTCGTCCTCCTCCTGCTGCTGGCTCCTGGACGGGCGGGAGGTGGTGCCAGGCGGTCGCTACGAAACGCGCACCGAGGGCCACGCGCGCCTCCTCGTCATCCGGGACGTGGACGCAGGCGACAGCGGGGCCCAGGTGGAGTTCCGGTGCGGCGAGGAGTGTGGGCGAGCCGCCACGCTCACCGTCACAGGTGAGCGGTGGCAGATTGGCCACACCGCCCCCTCGTGCGCCGTGCCGGATTTCATAGGTGCTCGCTGACAGCACTTGCCCCAACAGCCTGTGCAGGATACACAGGGTGTCCTTGTGTGTGTGTGTCCTTGGGTTAGCACATCAAGTTGGCAGAGTAGGGGACACAGGTGATCCATCTGCCAGCCATCTTCATCAGATAACCCACAACACCTAGGGTATGTCCCATGACCTTCCAGCGAGCCTTTGACACCTAACAGGGGCAGTGAGCACATTTTCTGCACTTATTATTAACAGGTTTATACTCACATTCAAGCTCGCACCACCTCAAAAATTCAACGCTGTGCAAAACAGACGTGTATTTGATTTTGTCCTTGATGCACCCGTACGCATAACAGTGTACAGCTGTGTACTGGCGTGCGTGCGTACTGCACAGTTTCACTGAAGACATTTGGAGCCTCCAGAGTTGAAACGCACTTATCACGACCGTGACGTTTGGGTGACACGCGTCCATAATCCGGCGGTGGGCACTTGGGGCTTTCGATCAAGACGCACGTGGGAGACTTTTATTTTCTCCTGTAAGTCAGGGAACGTCACAGACACGTTGGCGAAATAACGGCATGGCTCGCGCGTCTCTGCGCGATCCATTTTCAGAAGCACGAACACGCTCGACACGCGCCGCGTGGGGATTGATCGTGCTGGTGGAGGAACGCAATCCGCGGGTAAATCCAGATCGGATTTCCGATCCTAAATAACACGTCCCCGGTGAGAGCCGCTAATGATCATGGTGATGGTACGGAAGCCACTTGCGCGTGCAAGTTTTAACGGTTGCAGGGGACGTCTTGCCTTGCATCTTCTCCCGGGGGCGTTCAGGCAGCCATGCCTAATTAGCCTGTGAAAAATAACGGCGTCGTTCCAAATCCACCACCGAACCATGCACGGGGGTGGGGGGGGAGCTTGTATATCGGGTGTGCGTTGATGGGATTGAGCGAGCGGATTGAGCGAGCGAGGCTCCCGCGAAGAGTGAGACAGGAGGCGACCACCTCAACCACCGCGGCACCACCGACGAACTACCATCTCACCATCGCCATTGTGCCACCACCACCCACTACGCGTACCACCCCAAGCACCCTGAGATCCTTCAACCGAATAACTACCTGCCCATCTGTTATCGCTCCATCGTCGCACCACCCACCACATCGCTGCGCCATCACTCACCACCCCATTACGAGACGGCTGCTGTGGTGGCGAGATGTCTGGTCTGGGGGGTAGAGGGTTACCAGGTGTCCTTGCACACATTAGTACAATACTAGGAAGATGATGAATAGGCGTATCTTGTACTGGGCTGGTAGCCAGCCTAGCAGACGGCAGGGTTTTGGAAGATATCGAATGAGAAATTTGGCCCTCGCGTAATGGACTGCGCAGTGGCGTAGCGTGTGGTTAGCATTGGCCCTGTGTGAGGAGATGTTAATTGCCTCGCCTGGTATACAGGAGGTCGTGGGTTCGATCTCGATCCTGACGTCTGCTGTATATTTGAAGTTTGTATGTCTCTCTCCCCATGGTCCTGTGGATTTGTCTCCGGGTCCTTCGGTTTTTCCCTCAACATTTAGAAATGTATGCTTTTAGAGTATTTGGCTGCTGTACATTTCCATGTGATGAGCCACTTCGTGGAGCTACCATTTGTGGCAAGGTCGCTTCTGAAAAAGATCTATAAAAGCTCAGTAGGCCTTACCTGGTAAAATCATTTACCACCCATCACCACCCAATTATCATAATATATCAACAACCAGCTACCACTCCATTACCATGCTAACCACCACCCATCACCCACAACTCTGTTAACATGCCACACCAGCGCCCAGCAGCCACCATCCAATGACCCAGCACTTGCCAAACGTATCCCGATTACCCGATCACTCTACACTCACCACCATCACTTTGACCACCCAGCACCACAGAAACTACTGCTGAGCCCACCGCAACCCGCCAGCTCACCACCCCCTACACCACCATGCCCCCCCCCCCACCGTGTCCCCTCCACCGTGCCCCCCACCGTGCCCCCCACCATCCCCCCCCACCGTGCCCCCCCACCGTGCCCCCCCCCACCGTACCCCCCCACCGTACCCCACCCCCCATCGTGCCCCCACCACCGTGCCCCACTCCCCACCGTGCTCCCCCCCCCGTCCTTCCCAGGCCAAGGGAGACTCAGACCTCAAGTCGCGCGCAGCTGCAGGGGCTGCAGGGGCAACACGCGAATGTTCACCCCGCACTGCACCGCCACTCAACCACGGTCCCGATATAGACGCTGCCGAGCGTGCGTGCGAGCGTGCGTAGGGATGTGCCTGGCATCTGCGTAAGTGTGTGCGGATGTTTGAGCTGTGTGTGTGTGTGTGTTCACGGTGCGATTGTGTGAATGCGTGATCTGTGCCCGTGTGTGAGCACGCGTGTTGTGTAACCTGCTACGCGCGTATAATTGTGTGTCACGTGCGATTATATGAGCACGTTGCGTTATCTGTGGCTTTAGGAGCATAAGTGGGTTTGTGTGATTGATCACACGCGCGGCCACCCACGAAAGTCAAAGATTCCCCTGGTAGCCTTAACGGACTGTTGGGACAAGTGCTGTTAGCGAGCACCTATGAAAGCCGGCACGGCACACGAGTGGGTAGGGTGGCCAGCACCGCGCCCGGCCGCCTTTGTCTCCCCAGTGGCGATGTTTGAGGCCGAGTCGACCCACCCGCACAATGCACACACGCAAGCGGAAATGTCCCCACTGACTCGACAGCTCAGAACCCTGGCCTCGGCCCACACCCGGCACTCGTCAGCTCTTGGGTTTCACTCCGACCGGGGCTCGAACCCTGAACCCTCGAGGACACGACACTCGCATCGCTCGTAACCCCACACCGTGGCAGCCTCTCCCGTGGCAGGAGGCTGGCTCTGGGATTCGCTCGGAGCGAATTCCAACCCGCCGCGCGTTTCGGGACGGAATTTATCAGGCGGCATTTCCGGGGCTCGGAGAGTGCAGGGCAAGGCCGTAATTATAATATATTATATATATAATATATTATAATATATATTGGGGACACATCCCCCCCATATTAAAATATGCTCAACATGTCCCCCCCAATATATTGCTATAAAATTTATTTCTGTGTATATGATTGTGGTTATGGTTGTACTTTATCAATCCCTAATCTCTGCCATTACATACAATGAAACAAGAAAAGGTAAAAAAGAAAAAAACAGAGCAATGTAAAACAATACAATATTAGACATTATTGTAATAAATAAATAAAAAGTACAACCTATGTGTTAGTGATTTTTTTTTATACAGGAAATGGCAGGAAATTCGTTTTAAAATTTATTTATTTTTCTGGGGGGGGACCCCCAGACCCCCTGTAAGATTTGCCCCCCCCCCAATGTTGACTCCATGGCTACGGCCTTGGTGCAGGAATTGAGTTGATTTGATTAGACAATTGCCCGTATATTTTTACAAGGGGTGATCCGTGGGTGTGCGCGTGAGAACAGCAGCAACACAAAAGACAAAACACATCGACACTGCCAGAGAGTGAGTACAGGGTCCTAAAGCGACACTGCACAGCTAACGAACGAGGTATTTCACGGTCGAAAACGAAGCACATGTGACGACAAAAGCAGTGCAAGCATGGTATGGCGGCAAGAGGCCCCAGAAAGAGTTGGGTACAGCGCGTGTGGTCAATGCAGACTTGATGCCTTGAAACAGGTATCAATTTGGTGTTGGAACATCTTAACACCTGTTGTGTTGCCAGGACGGGTAAAGCCTATTCTTGTGTGGCCCTAATAGTCGCCGCTGGCGGGGGGGGGGGGGTTTGCCAGCGGTGGTCGCTCATCGAGGCAAATGCAGGCACAGGCGGCAGGTGGAGGCGGCTCATCATCGCCGTCGACTGTGCTGGGGGGAGGGGGGGCGGAAAAAAAAATCTTCGGCGATTCGTGAGCCGGAGGGCGACAACTCGCCACGGTGGCGCGCACCTGTCGCCGTCGCCCGCTGTCGAAGCGTTCCCACTTTCTTTGGGGCCGTGCCGTGAGCCGGGAAGTTTCCGCCGGCTGCCAGGCGGTACCGGCGATACCCCACGGAGCCAACGCCGGTTAAGAGATTGACAGCGAGACAAAAGTGAACGCGCTCCGCAGGGTGGCGAGAGGACGGTGGGTTGCGCACTGGGTCGCCCAATGTGCTGCCGCCCTCCCCCCCTAACTTGTAGCATCGATGGAACAAGCCAACCAGCCCCTAGCTAGCACCAGCAATAGCCCCAGAACCTAACCAACTATCCAAATTACTCATTTGGGATTATACTGTCCTTAGCAATCTTCCCCACCCTTACTTTTAAAAAGAAAAACTACTTTTGGCAGCACCCAACTGGAAAAGAGTGATGAGACTTCGTGAGGTTTTCCTCCGTAAACAAGCGCAATAATAAGCACAAGCCTGCCTTTAACATGTGAGTCAACCAGACACTCGCCCCATATCTATATCCCCTAATTAACATAGCCGGCAAGCCCGTAGGACTATCCCCTACCCAAACCACACGAGCCAGATCGTAGCCCAACCTCTAACCCTATCCACACAAGTCAAAAACTGTAGACCATACAACGAGGCCTAACCCTATCTCTAGCCACACCAATGGTGCTTAACCGAGCGGGACTAGCTTTCTCCCGTGTCTTCACAACTCCACGCTAATCCCAACTGCCGCTAAAATGGAAAGTTCTGTGTTGCCTTCCTATCCATGCCAATCCACCACTAAAATGGAACATTCCATGTTGTCTCCCCATCCACGCCAATCCCAGCCATTGCCAAAATGGAACATTCCGGCATTGTCTTCCCATCCATGCCAATCTCACCCACCGCCAGCCACCCACCACCGCTTTTGGTGACTTAGATGTGAGCCAAAATCTTTGTTTCTAAATCAGCTCAAGCCTCCTGTAAATCAAGTGACTTCTGTGTGGCCACCCCCACTCTAAATCCCTCCCCTCTCCCCACCCCCTGTGAAAACAAGATGCTGCTCCGTGCAGCAGCTTCGAGATCATCATGTAGCCTCTCCCAATTCTCATTTCCCTGACCCATTTCTCCAATTTTTGTTTCCCATGTCTTATTTCCCATTCTATCTCTTCCCTTTCCCATTCCGTTTTCTATTTCCATACATTATATCATTAACTCTACTCCCCTCTCTAGCCGTGTGCCATGGGAAAATAAGTTGATAGTCATATACTAGTTTCATGCTTTACGCATACATTTCTTACCGCATTTCCAGAATCGTTTTTTTTTTGCAGGGCCTTGTGCTTGGGATGTTTGTCCAGTATTTGTGCGAGAAAGCCGCAGTGCCCAGAGAATACCCATGCCTACAAGAGGAGAACACGAAAACTTTATCAAACAGAGAGGGGCTTTTCTAAAATTGTTATGCAACATATAATAGAGAGACTGGAACAAATAGGGGGATGACATTCGTAGGCTTTGATCTAGGAGTTTCTATATATATAATGATGATGATGGAGGTAATTCTGATGGACGTCATGAGGATGATGATGGAGGTCATGATATTGATGATGGTCGTGATGATTAAGGTCGTGATGGTGACTTTGATATAGGTCACAATGAATTTTATATCAGGACCTCGGTCTTGATAATGATGATGATGGTTATGATTATGATGTAGTTAATGATAAATAAGTTAAACACGATAATGATGATGATGTGCCGGAGGTTACATTGATAATGATGGCCTTCAGAACAATTATGATGATGATGATGAAGTTCAGGACAATGTTAATAGTAATTCTCTTGTACTTGCTACAGGCCAACACCTCTCCTTCTCTCTCCTCACCTGTCTCTCCTTACCCCTCTCTCCTCACCCCTCTCTCCTTACCCCTCTCTTCTCTCCCAGCCGCCCCAGACCTCTTCGTTCGGGACCCGGAGCCGAGTACGGACGTGCGTGCCGAGTCGGGGAGCCCCGCCGTGCTCGCGTGCCGCGTGCGTCGCCCCGGATCGCGAGTCCGCTGGCTCGGGCCCGGCGGCATCGACCTCCTCGTCGACAAGCGGCCACCGCCTCCGTCTCGAGGTCATGGCCACCAGGAGACGGGGGCCGGCGAGGGCAGCGGAGGTGCGAGGAGGAAGGAAGGCGAGGAGGAGGGGGAGGAGCAGGGGGAGGTGGAGTTCAGCGAGCGGAGCGAAGGGACGCTGCGAGAGCTGACCGTGCGCAGAGCGCGGCCCGGTCACTCGGGGCAGTACACGTGCGCGACGAGCGGCGACTCGCTCACCTTCCGGCTGAGCGTTGCGGGTGAGTGAGAGCGAGACGGTGCGATACGGACGTGCACGTGGCCATAGCGTTGTTACAGGATGACGCTGCAGAACTGCGGATATCGCTTCGCAATCACCACGCACAAAGATCCCAGTGGCACGGCAGCAGAGGCACCCAGATTCTGTTTTGGAGATGGTGGTGATAGTGGTGGGGTTGATGGTGGTGGTGGAGACTGTGTTGATAATAATAGCAAATGGTGGTGAAGGCCGTGGAGATGGGGGTGATGTAGATGATGAAGGAGGTAGTGGTGGTACTGGACATTATCGTGGTAGTTTTGGGGGTAATTGATTTTTCACAATAAAGAGAGATGACAGGAGAGTTTCTGATGATCATCATAATGGAAGTGATGACGACGATGCTGTGCGTGTGTGCATGCACAGAGCCGCCCGCGACCTTCGTGTCTCGCGAGGAGACGCTGACGAGCGTGGAGGCGGTGGAGGGCGAGCGCGCGGAGCTGAGCTGCGTGGTGTCGCGCGGGGACGCGAGCGTCGCGTGGCTCAAGGAGGGACGCACGCTCTCCGAGCAGCAGCAGCAGGAGCTCGGCCTCCGCCTGGAGGCGTCGGGGACGCTGCGCCGCCTCGTCATCGACCGCGCGCAGGCGGCGCACGCCGGCGTCTACACGTGCGACACGGGGCACGAGCGCGTGGACTTCACGGTCCGCGTCACCGGTGAGGGAGGCTCCGATGTCAGGGGTCGTTGTGCAGGTCACATGCGTCGCATGGGTCTAAACTATAAACGAAACATATTCTTGGTTCTTTCGGTAAAGTCACGTAGAAGGGAAACAATAAAATAATGAAGAACCAAGAATATGAATCCCTGCAGTCACGAAAGCTTTAAATCAAAAATATAAACGAAACCTTTTATTTTACCAGGAAAGTTCCACTGAGCTACATACCTCGTTTTCAGAAGCAACCAAATGATAGCTCAACGAAGTGGCGTATCACGTGGAAATTTATAGCAGCCGAATACTCTCAGCGCATGTTTCTAAATATGGAGGGAAAAACCGGAGGACCCAGAGAAAAAGCTACTCGACCACGGCAAAAACATGCAAACTCCAAATATACAGGCATCAGGGGTCGGGATCGAACCCATGACCTCCTATATACCAGGCAAGGTAGTTAACATCTCGCCACCGTGTCGCCGTAATTGGTGACTTGTTGGCTGGCACCAAGGTCGGGTATCACCTCTGCGCTTCAGGTACATGGTTTGTAATGAGGGCCGAGAAGCACCATAAATAACGAAGTGAAACGCAAGCAAAACGTTAAAAGATTGCACAAAGTACCAGTGGGATTAGAATGATGGTCATGGGTATAGTTGTTCGTATGTTGAACTTCTTTCACACCGTATGTAGCCAACCGTGCTAATAGTTCGCGCTATGGTCTGATTATCTAATTTGTTAGGCTTAGGGTGAGTTCATTTCGTTTTGGCGAGTTTGCTCTACTCCCGAGCGGTGGGTCTCCGCCTCCTTCCTACCGTGTGTGTGTGTGAGGTCGTTTCACTTCCTGTTCACGCCTAACTTCTGGAGTCAGGGCTCGTGGATCGAACCGTTGTTTGATCTGCTCACGAACGTTTTTTGCCGATGGCGATGCTGCCGATGATCCCAGCGACGACCACTGATGACATTTCCATTGGACAATTGTCATTTTTGATGATTTTAATGAGGGGATCTCAATGATGATGGTAATAGTGTTGATTTAGAAAAAAAGATATCAGAATACATTGTTTGATATTTTATCTAGTTTCATTATTATTGTCATGTAAATGCGATGACAATGGTGATAATTGAGGAAGGCTGTATCATGATGATAATGATGTTGAGCGTGATGTGATTGAGATCATGATAATTGTGATGATGATAGTGCAAGTCATGATAATGATGAAGGTCATGATAATCATGACAATGATGACGATAAAGTATATAATGATGGTATTTTAGTTGAGGACGACATTGATGAACTACTAACGAGGATGCTGTGCGTGTGTGCATGCACAGAGCCGCCCGCGACCTTCGTGTCTCGCGAGGAGACGCTGACGAGCGTGGAGGCGGTGGAGGGCGAGGCGCGCGGAGCTGAGCTGCGTGGTGTCGCGCGGGGGACGCGAGCGTCGCGTGGCTCAAGGAGGGACGCACGCTCTCCGAGCAGCAGCAGCAGGAGCTCGGCCTCCGCCTGGAGGCGTCGGGGACGCTGCGCCGCCTCGTCATCGACCGCGCGCAGGCGGCGCACGCCGGCGTCTACACGTGCGACACGGGGCACGAGCGCGTGGACTTCACGGTCCGCGTCACCGGTGAGAGCCCTCGGACCAGCGGTTGTGGATCACATGGGTTGCCTTACATGTCACATGGGTCGCTCTGATGGAGTTTGGAACACGGTGTTTTTATAACACAGCTCCACATCATGGGTCAGAGAGGCCAGGCTGCAGAGAGGTTGGGTGGCAGGTGGGGCGGTTTTCCCCGGGCATCAGATTTATGGGTCCTCAGAATCAATGGCTGGGGGTTCAGAAAAGGCCAAGGAGGCCTCGTCTGACATTTTGCCTCAGGCCTCAGAAAACATTTTGGCGGCCCCACAAAGAGGCTCCACTACCTCAGTGGTTGCGAACCCCACGCAGGTTGGACATGGGGACAATGAGGCTGACTTCACAGCCATTTTCTCTTTATTTCCTCGATAATATGGTGGGGCTCGCTATGGGTTTGCAGTCAATGCTCTTATGTGTAACTGCAATGGAGCATTGCCATTTAAATGCGATGGTGATGATTATGCAGATTTTTTTAATTTATGATAATAATTAATGTCCAATTCAGATTATGGGCATAATGGTGGAAAATGTGATGATGATGATGATGATAGTGGTCATAATGATGTATGCATGTATGTTAGGCTTCTTTGACACCATACCCTTTGGTTTTATTCGGTAAAGTCACGTAGGTAAAAAAATAAAACAACAAAAATCACGACGTTTCGGCCACAACACAAGCGGCCTTCATCAGGTGAAGGGACCAGCCTGTCTCGAAGACTGCGCTGGAGTGAAACAGAGCCAAGCTCAGACTACGACCTTTAAGCTGTGTGAGGGGGATTAAGGTGCCTCGACAAAGGAATTAGCATAAAAATTAGCATTTGATTGGCGGACTTAGCATGATGAAAGGTGTAGCACAGTGATCGGCACCAGCAGTGCACCCGCCTGTGCTGTGAAAGTTTGGGGTACCACTACTTGAAAAAATATACTGTACCAATGAAAATTAGTTTAATGTTTGGTTCGATTTAGAACATCTTTCCAATGGTTGCTTAATTTGAAACCATCTTCTCGGTTGAAATTGTGTCTGTGTTTGTAGATCTGAATTGCCTCGTGAACAAATCTCTGATAAAAACCTGTGGGTTTACAAAGAACCTTGGTATCGGAGAAAATTATATCGTGATCACCCACAGCGTTGTAACAGTGATCAGCCACGGCAGAAGAATTTGTTCTGCCGTGTTTCAAATCTGATTTGTGCTCGCGAATTCGGTCAGAGACATGTCGCTTCATCTCCCCGATATAGCAATCACCGCAGGTACAACTCAATTTGTAAACCCCGGGGTACTCTAAGTCAGGAATGACATCCTTCACGGATGGGATCAGATCACGAATTTTACGTACTGTATTGAACCGGACCTGGATCTTGTGTTTGTTTAGAATTTTGGAAATCTTTTTAGTAACGCCTGCTATATATGGTAGTGTGATGGTTTTGACCGGAGTATCAAGTGGTTGTTTCTGTATGGAGGGAGAAACAGCTTGGCGGATGGTACGGTCAGAGTATCCATTCTTTTTGAGGGCCAGGTGTACATGTTTAAATTCACTGGTCAGGTGGTGTTGGTCCGAAATGCAATGAGCCCTATGGTATAACGTTTTGATGAGATAATTCTTTTGGGCTGGGTGGTGGTGGGAATCAGGCTTCAAGTAGGAATCTGTGTGGGTGGGTTTCCTGTAGACAGAATGCCCCAATGAGCCATCAGGTCTCCTCTCAAGCAGAACATCCAAGAATGGTAGCTTGCCATTTTTCTCCACTTCCATGGTGAATTTGATGGCGGGATGTCTGGAATTGATGTGGTGTAGGAAAAGGTTCAGAGCTGGGAGGCCATGTGGCCACATGACGAAAGTGTCATCCACATATCTCTTCCACAGGGAAGGTCTGAGGGTGGAAGTCTGGATGGCGTCCGATTCAAATTTCTCCATGAAAACATTGACTATCACTGGTGACAAGGGGGAACCCATGGGAGTACCCTCATTTTGCTTGTAGAAGGAACCATTCCAAGTGACTTTACCGAATATAACCAAAGAGTATGGATCCTTGCAGTCACGAAAGCTTCAAATCTAGAATTCTTTCACACCGTACGTAACCAAATGATGTTGATAATGAACATGACAATGGCAGTCAGGATGGTGATGTAGTGTAGGTCATGATTATGAATAAAACATTTTTATTAGCGAGGTCAGGATGAGGGAAGTGATGATGGTAATGACGATGATGACATGAGCTAAAATGTAGCCCAAGAGAATGCTAAAGGATGATGCAGGTGATGTTGATGGTAACTTAAGTCATAATGGCCCTGTCGTTCATGCTAACGATCATGACGTCGATTACCTACTAACGACGACGATGCTGTGCGTGTGCGCATGCACAGAGCCGCCCGCGACCTTCGTGTCTCGCGAGGAGACGCTGACGAGCGTGGAGGCGGTGGAGGGCGAGCGCGCGGAGCTGAGCTGCGTGGTGTCGCGCGGGGACGCGAGCGTCGCGTGGCTCAAGGAGGGACGCACGCTCTCCGAGCAGCAGCAGCAGGAGCTCGGCCTCCGCCTGGAGGCGTCGGGGACGCTGCGCCGCCTCGTCATCGACCGCGCGCAGGCGGCGCACGCCGGCGTCTACACGTGCGACACGGGGCACGAGCGCGTGGACTTCACGGTCCGCGTCACCGGTGAGGGAGGCTCCGGCGTCACGGCCCAGCATTCACCGCTTGCTGCAGAGGTTCATGGTTGGATCCAGCAGCTTGTTATTACTGCAGGTGGCATTACCAATAATAATAAGAATAATGAACGCCGTCTGCTTCACAATGGATGTTAAAGTCCACTGTGAAGTCATTTGCAAGATCAGAGCAGGCCATTGCAAAATTAAAAAAATTACCAGCAAAGTTCCCATTTGTATTTATAGGAGCGATCATTGCACCATACTGGCAGGCTCATGTCCCAGGTCAATCTTGCCAGTGAAACTTTGCCGGTCCCTGGAGTTCTCACCTGGCTAAATAAATAAACTTTAAACCTCACATTGCAGCACGCGGGACACAGCACATGGGACACGACTAATGAGATGCAGGACATGCTGGCTGCGATGGCACACACTTGTGATCCAGTGCTTTGAACACAAGCTGGAATACGAGGTGGCCAGGACATATCCACCTCAAGTTGTAATTCCCTATATTATTCATGCGAATATTTCAATGCAGGAAGCTCCTGGTGGAGGATGTCGGGATGATGATGGTAGTGGAGATGAGGATGGCGCGATAGCTCACGAGGGTAATGATGAATGTCAGGATGACGACCGTGTCTGTCCGGTGCTCATCGAGCTGCTTTGGTTTCCAGTTGCTAATGGAATACTTTTATGAGGTCGTACTCACAAATGAATCACACTACCTTGCTGATCCTGTCAAGGAGAATAACCCATCACGCAAACTCCGCCCATCCTCGCAGCGGCTTTTTGGCTGGGCCATCGAACAAAGATGGCCACTTCTGCGGCCGTCTAGACCGCTCTTCCTCCCAATATGTGATAATTGAGGAAGGCTGTATCACGATGATAATGATGTTGAGCGTGATGCGATTGAGATTATGATAATTGTGATGATGTGCACTTTTACTTTGAAATTGAAAACTCATTTCTTTAGAACTACTTTTTGTGTTTAGTTTGCTGTCCTTTCCCCACACCTCCGATTAGCACGGTTAGCTACGTGCGGCACGAAAGCAGTTCACGACACGTGATGATGATGATGATTATAATAGCGGATGACAACCGGGTGATGGAGATCACGGCGGTGTCCGTCGTGCGAGCGCAGAGCCCCCGGCTCGCTTCGTGTCGCGCGAGGAGACGCTCACCGACGTGGAGGCGGTGGAGGGGGAGGACGTGGCGCTGGGCTGCGAGGTGTCGCGCGACGACGCCGCCGTCTCGTGGCAGCGCGCGGGCGGCGAGGAGCTGAGCGACGACGAGCGGCGCGAGCGGCTGAGCGACGGGGTCGAGCGGGCGCTCGTGCTGCACGGGTGCGAGGCCGCGGACGCGGGGACGTACGTGTGCGTGACGCGCGACGGAGACGCCATCGAGTTCCACGTGCGCGTCACGGGTGCGGACCGGACAAGCGCACCCACGAGCGCACACACGCAGGCATAGATCACCCTATAGAATTAACGGGTAAGTGCTGTCAGCGAACAGCCGTCAAGGCCGACACAGCACACGAGTTGGGGGGGGCGAGGTGCTCAGCACCACTGCCGGCCTTTGTCTCCCCCTTGCTGATGTTTTACGCATCGTACCAGGTCCAGGTCCAGTTCTGACATTTACTCACCACCAAAGTTTTCTTCTGCCGTCGCTACTCCTCCCCCTTGCCCCACAGCCCCCCCCGCGCTCTTCACGCAGCCCCTGCGCGACGTGTACGCGCGCGCCGGGGAGCCCGTTGCGCTCGGCTGCCTCGTGTCGGACCCGCGGGCACACGTGACCTGGCTCCGGGACGGGCTCCCCCTGGGCGAGGGGGGCGAGGAGGAGGAGGAGGAGGGCGAGCGGTGGGAGGAGGTGGTGGCGGAGGAGGGCGTCAGGCGGGAGCTGCGGATCGCGCGCGTGGCGCTCGAGCACGAGGGCGAGTACACGTGCGAGACGAGCGGCGACGTCACGAGCGCGTGGCTGGCCGTCGAGGGTGAGGAGCGCGCGCGCCCGGGACTGGGCCACCCACACACCCCCCCCCCCTTCGTTTGCCACAACGCCGGCCTTCGTTTGGTGCTACTCGCTAACAGCGCTTGCCCCAACAGTCTAAGGGCGTCTTGGGCCTCGCCTAGGTCGACTCAGCCTCAAATGAGTACCTGGTTCGGCGTTTAAACATCGGCACTGGGGAGACCAAGGCCGCCCGTCGCGGTGCTGGCCACCCACCCCCTCGTGTGCCCATGCTGGCCTTCATAGGTGCTCGCTAACAGCACAGACTATACGTGGGGTCTTTGTGTCGCTGTGCATCTATGCGTGTAGGTGCACATGTAGCAAGCCTACAAAACTGGCACAACGCTATCCCAGTGTTCTGAAACTTTAAGTAAAAAAAAAAACACGCGCACATTTTGTCCCGGTTTCAATTTAGCCGCGGCTCACCGTCAGTGCCGTCAGTGCCTCGCCACACTCGTGGCGCTGCCGTGTGGAGCTGTGGAAAGGCGCCGTGTGGTGGCAGCCTGCAGTTCTCTCACCTCAAACCCTCAACCCATAGCATCAGCAGAGGCTTGCTGACACTGTCAGCCATTCAAGGAGGCGCTGCCAGCTTACCATGTGTCCTGGTTAAGCCTCCCAGATATTTGGGAACCCCACCATAGTCAACAATGCCACTCCAAAAGCCTCTACCACCACCTTCATGGCCAAACACTTTCCCACTCACCTACCCCAATAACTCTCACCACTGTCTCCACGAAATTTCACCCTCCTGTCTTTAAATACCACTCTTCTTCTTCACCACCACTCATTCTCTTATTGTCCTCTCCACCAATCCTCTCCATCACCACTACCACCACATACACTCACCCTCCTATTATATCATCACCAGTTTTCGAACGCCACTAATCCTCACCACCACTCACCCACATACTCTCTTTAATCCACCATCCATCATCACCATCACCACCACGACAGTCACTCGCCCTCCACGTCCACTTACCATCTCACTCCCCTACTCTCCTGCCCCATCACCCCTCACCCTTAAAATCTCCATGCCCTGCCATCTCCTCTTCACCCGTGACCCCGTGACCCCATGACCCCGTGACCCCATGACCCCATGTGCCCGTGCAGTTCCTCGTCCCGTGGAGTTCGTGTCGGAGCTGCACGGGCTCACGGTGCTGGAGGGCGAGGACGCGACGTTCCGCTGCTCGGTCTTGCCGGCCGACGCGGCCGTGCGCTGGGAGCTGCGTGGCGCCGCATTGGAGGCCGGGGGCCGTGCATCGCTCCACGAGGATGGCGCCGCCCGCTCGCTGCTCCTGCGCGCCGTCACGGCGCTCGACGCCGGCGAGGTGGCGGCACTGGCCGACGGAGCGGAGACGCGGGCCCTGCTCCGCGTGCAAGGTGAGGGCCCGGGCATCCGCACGGTCGACTCGGCCTCAAACGAGTACCCGGTGCGGTGTGTGAACATCGCCACTTAGGGCACAAAGGCAGCCGGGCGTGGTGCCGGCCACCCAGCCGCTCGTGTGCCATGCCGGCCTTTCGTAGGTGCTCGCTAACAGCACTTGCCCCCAACAGCCTTATAAGCCTATACGGGCTTTGTTTGTCTTTTGTACACATCTGTGTGTCACACGCACACCCGCCGTCCGTTCACATCTGTGCTCGCGCGCGCTCGTCTGTGCTCGTGCGGGAGCTCGTCTGTGCAGAGGCCCCCGTGTCGTTCGTGCGCGGGCTGGAGGCGACGGCGGCGGAGGAAGGTGACGACGTGGTGTTCACCGTGGAGTTGTCGCGAGCGCAGGCCGAGGTGCGCTGGGCACGCAACGGCGTGCTGCTGAACCCCGGAGCCGAGCGCGCCGAGCTGCGCGTGCACGGACCGCTGCGCTCGCTCACCGTGCGCTCCGTCAGCTTCTCGGACCGCGGCGTCTACTCCTGCGAGAGCCTCCACGAGCGCACGCAGGCGCGGCTCAGCGTGGAGCGTACGTGGCGGTGATGGTGGTGGTGGTGGTAGTGGTGGTGGTAGTGGTGGTGGTGGCGGTGGTGGTGGTGGTGGTGATGGTGGTGGTGATGGTGGTGGTGATGGTGGTGGTAGTGGTGGCGGTGGTGGTGGTGGTGGTGGTGGCGGTGATGGTGGTGGTGGTGGTGGCGGTGATGGTGGTGGTGGTGGTGTTGGTGGTGGTAGTGGTGGCGGTGGTGGTGGTGGTGGCGGTGATGGTGGTGGTGGTGGTGATGGTAGTGGTGGTGATGGTGGTGGTGGTGATGGTGGTGGTGGTGGTGATGGTGGTGGTGATGGTGGTGGTAGTGGTGGCGGTGGTGGTGGTGGTGGTGGTGGCGGTGATGGTGGTGGTGGTGGCGGTGATGGTGGTGGTGGTGGTGTTGGTGGTGGTAGTGGTGGCGGTGGTGGTGGTGGCGGTGATGGTGGTGGTGGTGGTGATGGTGGTGGTAGTGGTGGCGGTGGTGGTGGTGGTGGTGGTGGTGGTGGTGGCGGCGGTGGTGGTGGTGGCGGCGGCGGTGGTGGCGGTGGTGGTGGTGGTGGTGGCGGTGATGGCGGTGGTGGCGGTGGTGGCGGCGGTGGTGGTGGTGGTGGTGGTGGCGGTGATGGTGGTGGTGGTGGCGGTGGTGGTGGTGGTGGTGGCGGTGATGGTGGTGGTGGTGGTGGTAGTAGCGGTGGTGGTGGTGGTGGTGGCGGTGATGGTGGTGGTGGCGGTGGTGATGGTGGTGGTAGCGGCGGCGGCGGTGGTCGGGCGGGCGGGGTGACAGGTGACAGGTCACAGCCGAGATGAGCAACCTCACCGACTACAGCTGAGATGAGATGAGCAGGATTACTGATTATGGCTGAGATGAGCAGGATTACTGATTAGTTGAGATATGAACAGGATTACTGATTATGGCTGAGATGAGCAGGATTACTGATTAGTTGAGATATGAACAGGATTACTGATTATGGCTGAGATGAGCAGGATTACTGATTAGTTGAGATATGAACAGGATTACTGATTATGGCTGAGATGAGCAGGATTACTGATTAGTTGAGATATGAACAGGATTATTGATTATGGCTGAGATGAGCAGGATTACTGATTAGTTGAGATATGAACAGGATTATTGATTATGGCTGAAATGAGCAGGATTACTGATTAGTTGAGATATGAACAGGATTACTGATTATGGCTGAGATGAGCAGGATTACTGATTAGTTGAGATATGAACAGGATTACTGATTATGGCTGAGATGAGCAGGATTACTGATTAGTTGAGATATGAACAGGATTATTGATTATGGCTGAGATGAGCAGGATTACTGATTAGTTGAGATATGAACAGGATTATTGATTATGGCTGAAATGAGCAGGATTACTGATTAGTTGAAATATGAGCAGGATTACTGATTTTGGCTGAGATGAGCAGGATTACTGATTAGTTGAGATATGAACAGGATTACTGATTATGGCTGAGATGAGCAGGATTACTGATTAGTTGGGATATGAACAGGATTACTGATTATGGCTGAGATGAGCAGGATTACTGATATGTTGAGATATGAACAGGATTACTGATTATGGCTGAGATGAGCAGGATTACTGAGTATAGTTGAGATGAAACTAGATGAGCAGGGTTGCTGACTACATCTGCGATGAGCAGATTAACGATTACAGTGGAGACTAGATGAGATGAGGAGATATGCAGGTTACTGATTGTGGCCGAGATGAGATGACCAGGAATAACAGAATGCAGTCAAGTAAGTGGCTCGGCGCTCCTTCAGCGTCCCCCCTCTTCATGGTCCTGTGCCTGGGCCTCTCCCCTCTTCATTGCCTGGCGCCCAGGCCTTTCCCTTCTTCAGTGCCTGGGCCTCTCTCTCTCCGACCGCACGGCCTCCGGCGCGGTCGCACCTTCGGTGGCGCACTCACCAATAGCCACGCCGCTGTGCTCCCCCCCCTCCCTCCCCCCACCGCCACGCTGTGCCCCACCGCAGCTCGCCAGGTGCGCCTGGTGCAGGCTCCGAGCGCGGTGGAGGCGACGGAGCGCGGCACGGCCACGTTCTCGCTGCGCCTCTCTCACGCCGACGTGCCGGGCCAGTGGTTCCGCGACGCAGTGCCCGTGTCTCCGGGGCCCCTGTGCCGTGTCGCGGCGTGCGGCACGGAGCACAGCCTCACGCTCGCGGCGCTCTCCCTCGACGACTCGGGCCTCGTCTCCTTCCAGGCCGAGGGGGTGCACTGCTCGGCGAGGCTCACGGTCAGAGGTGCGAGGGGCGGCGGTCGCGTCGTCTGCCGGCTGACGGTGTGTCCGTCCGTGTCTGCCAATCGACGGGTGTGCCCGCCTACCGTTTTCGTGTCGACCTGAACGTCTACTCGCTGATAGCTGGTGGGCACCTGTGACGAATAACCACAGCTCGCGCCTCCGATTAGCGCGGTCGCACCTTCGATTAGCGCAGTTGGCTACGCACGGTGCGAAAGAAGTTCAACGTGCATACATACATAAATACAGCCATACCGAGAGGTATACTGGATGTGGTGTGCCGGCTGCGTAATTATTTTTGGCTGTCCGACCCAGACACGCTAAGCTGAAATTAAGCCCAGGGCCTATCGATTCGTTTGCTGTGGTCACCAATCAATGGTCTCTTGCGGTGGGCCCAGTGGTGGCCGGTGGATTACGGTTGCCGTGGGTTGTGGTTAACCTTGCTGTCCCATTGCGGTTGCCGTGGGTTGTGGTTAACCTTGCTGTCCCATTGCGGTTGCCGTGGGTTGTGGTTAACCTTGCTGTCCCATTGCGGTTGCCGTGGGTTGTGGTTAACCTTCCTGTCCCATTGCGGTTGCCGTGGGTTGTGGTTAACCTTGCTGTCCCATTGCGGTTGCCGTGGGTTGTGGTTAACCTTCCTGTCCCATTGCGGTTGCCGTGGGTTGTGGTTAACCTTGCTGTCCCATTGCGGTTGCCGTGGGTTGTGGTTAACCCTGCTGTCCCATTGCGGTTGCCGTGGGTTGTGGTTAACCCTGCTGTCCCAATGCGGTTGCCGTGGGTTGTGGTTAACCCTGCTGTCCCGTTGCGGCTGGCGTGGGTTGTGGTTAACCCTGCTGTCCCGTTGCGGCTGGCGTGTGATGCACAGAGCCGCCCGTGAGGTTCGTCCGTGAGCTGGAGGAGACGCGCGCACCCGAGAAGTCACGCGTCACCCTCGAGTGCGAGGTGTCGCGCGAGTTCGCCGACGTCAAGTGGTACAAGGTGTGCGTGCGCACCTAGCCTGGCACAAACGGCGTGGGGACAACACCGCCACCCAATGGCGATTGATGTTGGTGGTATGTGCGGCAGTACATAGATGCTCAATGGCAGCTCGAGGGAATATTCTCAGCTCTGGTCACTGTTGTCGCCTCGGTCAAAGGACTTGGATAAGAGGCACCGACCTTGAGACTGGCCCTCTGCCTAAGAGACTCCAACACTTGATATGGGCCTTGACTTGTGGCTCATAACCTCAACATCGGCGTTAGCCTCGTGGCTCCTAGCCTTGATTACAAGACTGATATGTGGGGAGGGGTGGTACAGTGGTTAGGGCACTGCACTACGAATCCGGGGCCCAGGCTGACATCAGCTGTGAGTTTTATCTGGGCCTCCCCGAGGTCACCTCATCCAAAAATGTGTACCTGGTGCTGGCTGTAGAAAACTTAAGCGGTGACACCACCTCCTTACGCGCTGCGCCTGCTTTAATAGGTGCTCGCTAACGGCGCTTGCCCAATGGCATATGACACGGGGTGTGTGTGTGGGGGGCAGCAGTAGTGTCACGGTTATCACGCTGCACTACGATTCCGGTGACCTGAGTTCGATTCCTACTCAGGGCCAACACCAGTGACGGTTATTTGAATCGGTCCTGGGCCTCCTCTAGGTCGACTCAGCCTCAAATGAGTACCTGGTGCGGTGTGTAAACCTCGCCGCTATGGGAGACAAAGGCGGCCGGGCGTGATGCTGGCCGCCCACCCCCTCGTATGCCGTGCCGGCCTTCGTAGGTGCTCGCTAACAGCACTTTCCCCGACAGTCTGTTGTGGCTCTACAGAGGACACTTATCTTTGTGGGGGAGCAGGATGGAGAGGAGGTGAAGCCGGGCGGCCGGTGCCGCCTCATGTCCCAGGGCCCGCGGCGCTCACTGCTCGTGCCGCGGTGCGAGCGCGCCGACTCGGGGATCTACGCGTGCGTGGTCACGGGCGACACACGCACCGAGGCAGCGCTGCGGGTGCACGGTCCGTCGTTCACTCGTATACCGAGTCATTCACTCGGTCACTCACTTAGTCATTCACTCAGTCATTCACTCGTACACTCAGTCACTCACTCATTCAGTTACTCATCTTTTCTTTCACCTATTATTAAATCAACCATTCATGTCTTCGTGACTATTACTTCACTGGATATATGTTCCATTAGTTTATTTATTAATACATTATTTCTTTAATTGATTAATCTAGTGTTCATTAGTAATGTGTCAATGAACCAAACAAATAATTACTTATCGAGCTTGCTATTAATTAATTTGGATATTTTGATAAGTAATGAATAATATAATTTTGATATTGTTCGTTAATTCAGATATTTATGCATTCACCAAAATAATTCATTCAGAACCCCATTAATCCCTTTAAAAATCCATCCACTTATTCATCTCGACATAACTAACTCCATTCATACATCCAATGATTACTTTAATCATCAACTGACCCACCCATATGTTAATTAATCTAATCACATATCTTTTATTAAATCCATTCATTCAGTAATATATCCAAACGATAATTAATTGTCAAAGCATTCTTTATTTGATTCGTCCGTTTGTCAACAATTGTCAACAGAATGAATTCACTAATTTGTTAGTTTATTAATTCGAGACGGTCGTGTTGAGGGATGGGGAGTGCCATGGTGGATAGATGTTAACTACCTCGCCTGGTATACATGAGGTTGTCGTGTTCGATCCTGACCCTGACGCCTGTATATTTGGAGTTTGCATGTTCTCCCCGTGGTCGCGTGGATTTTTATCTGGGTCCTCCGGTTTTTCCCTCCATTTTTAGAAACATGCGTTGAGAGCAGGGGTCGGCAACCTATGGCTCGTGAGCCAGATGTGGCTCTTTTGATGACTGCATCTGGCTCGCAAATAAATCTTAGCTGACATTTCTTAACATGATAAGTAATGAATAATTCCGCTGACATTAAAGTAAAACATTACAGAAATCACAGTGTTAAAAATAACGTTTAAAATATAAAACATTCTCATGCATTTTAATCCATCCATTTTCTACCGCTCCTGCTCAGGGTTGCAGGTGGCTGGCTTAGAGTATTCGGTTGCTATAAATTTCCACGTCATAAGCCACTTTGTTCAGCTATCATTTGTGGTCAGGTCGCTTCTAAAAAAAGAGCTATACAGCTCAGTGGGCCTTTCCTGGTAAAATAAAAAAAAATTGTTTATAGTTTAAATCCTGAAAGGTACCGCTTCCTCCATAGAATCTGCACACAGTGGAGCGTGTTCATACTTGCCGAGTTGTGGTCAAAGTTCACAGTAAAGTGAGGGCGAGTCCTGTGTAAATTGGGCTTTAAATAACGAGAAGTTGTTCGTCCTGAAGTTCATTCGGGGACACGTGCCTTCAGGGAGATAAGTGTATTAATGTGGCCATGCAACCGAAACTGGGGACCCAATAGTAACCCGCTTGAGTATGAGGAGGAACAGCAACACTGCACGAACTCGCTCCTCTGAAGCCCTGTCGTGGGCAGCAGACCTCAACATAGACATTTAGCGCCTGAACGCACTGCCATACGCAAGAACACAATAGTGGAACAATATTGAGTCTACCCATTCTTTAATGATAGACTCTTGTTAGTCCGCTGCTGGATGAAGACCTCCGTATCAGCAATGGGGGCTATTTGACCACCATTGCGGGTTGGTGATGGGTGGAGGCCCAGTATAGGGTTGTTTCAGATATCACTCTCCTCTTGTTAGCCGTGGCTGGGAATCGAACCTTGGTCACCGGGTTCATCGTGCAGTGTGCTAACGATTGTGACACCACTTCCCATTGTCAGCCATTCGCTGTGGAGAAAACCCGTTTGGGCTGTTTGTAACAACCATTTGAGTGTTTTTGTAGTGCCCGGTGCTGGCCAGAGTGACAGTCTACACCTCTTGCGTTTACTAAGAATACCTGTACCCAAAGATAGATTGATACACTGAGTGAATGTTCAATTTATTTACCCATTGACTGAAATGTTGACTGACATTTTGACTAATTTACACGAATTGAACGACTTCAATACTGACCGATAAATTATTGTTCATTTTTTTTCATTTCACCTTTATTTAACCATGTAAAACGCCCTCTTTTGCGAGGGGGACCTGATTGATTGACTGCTCGCTCGGCTGATTGCTGAAACTATTCTGACAGAGTGACTGATTAAATTATCCCAACATGACTGACGAATACACTGCCTGGCTCATTAACTGCTTTATTGACTGGCTGCTTGATTGATTTTCCTCACGACTGCCTGACTAACCAACTTGACTGACTGCTTGACTGATTTTCCTCACGACTACCTGACTAACCAACTTGACTGACTGCTTGACTGATTTTCCTCATGACTGCCTGCCTAACCAACTTGACTGACTGCTTGACTGATTTTCCTCACGACTGCCTGACTAACCAACTTGACTGACTGACTGCTTGACTGATTTTCCTCACGACTGCCTGACTAACCAACTTGACTGACTGACTGACTGATTTTCCTCACGACTGCCTGACTAACCAACTTGACTGACTGACTGCTTGACTGATTTTCCTCACGACTGCCTGACTAACCAACTTAACTGACTGACTGCTTGACTGATTTTCCTCACGACTGCCTGACTAACCAACTTGACTGACTGACTGACTGATTTTCCTCACGACTGCCTGACTAACCAACTTGACTGACTGACTGCTTGACTGATTTTCCTCACGACTGCCTGACTAACCAACTTGACTGACTGCTTGACTGATTTTCCTCACGACTACCTGACTAACCAACTTGACTGACTGCTTGACTGATTTTCCTCACGACTGCCTGCCTAACCAACTTGACTGACTGACTGCTTGACTGATTTTCCTCACGACTGCCTGACTAACCAACTTGACTGACTGACTGCTTGACTGATTTTCCTCACGACTGCCTGACTAACCAGCTTGACTGACTGACTGCTTGACTGATTTTCCTCGCGACTGCCTGACTAACCAACTTGACTGACTGACTGCTTGACTGATTTTCCTCACGACTGCCTGACTAACCAACTTGACTGACTGACTGCTTGACTGATTTTCCTCACGACTGCCTGACTAACCAACTTGACTGACTGACTGACTGATTTTCCTCACGACTGCCTGACTAACCAACTTGACTGACTGACTGCTTGACTGATTTTCCTCACGACTGCCTGACTAACCAACTTGACTGACTGATTTTCCTCACGACTGCATGACTAACCAACTTGACTGAAAGACTGCTTGATTGATTTTCCTCACGACTACCTGACTAACCAACTTGACTGACTGACTGCTTGACTGATTTTCCTCACGACTGCCTGACTAACCAACTTGACTGACTGACTGCTTGACTGATTTTCCTCACGACTGCCTGACTAACCAACTTGACTGACTGACTGATTTTCCTCACGACTGCCTGACTAACCAACTTTACTGACTGACTGTTTGACTGATTTTTCCTCACGACTGCCTGACTAACCAACTTGACTGACTGATTTTCCTCACGACTGCATGACTAACCAACTTGACTGAAAGACTGCTTGATTGATTTTCCTCACGACTGCCTGACTAACCAACTTGACTGACTGACTGACTGATTTTCCTCACGACTGCCTGACTAACCAACTTGACTGACTGGCTGATTGACCGAGAGCTTGAAGGATCGACACACCGAGTGTCTGCCGGGCTGACTAATACGAAGCCCTTTCATAAACCCACCTCAACCGTCTCCTTCCATGACCCCACCCATCTCACACCACCCCGCTCCTCACCGTCTGGTACAGCTCGCGACGTGCGCATGGTGCAGCGGTTGACGGAGTGCGACGTGGAGGAGGGGCAGGCAGCCTCGTTTGAGTGTGAGACCACTCACGACGAGGTGAGCGCCGTGTGGACTCTCAACGGGACGCGACTCAAGCCCGGGGACAACGTCCGCATCCGAGATGAGGGTGCGCGTCGATTCGCCGGCTCCCCGCCACCCCATGATCTGGGTCACTATTTAACGTCGCAATCTGGGGTCACGTATTGGGATGTTTTTGGAGGTCTCTAGTCATGGGTCACGATTCAGGGTCACACAAACGATTTATATTCACGGTTGTTGAAGTGATGCAATCCTCCCGTGCACGATAGCTCGGTGGATTGTTGCATCGCGATATCGAGATAGTGACGGCTCGGGGAGGAGGCCTTCATCCAGGGCCGACGATGATGGCCAGAGCGATGTGAATCTATAATGGTGCGCATCTTCAAAATGTATAGAATATCAGCGTGAGTCAATAAACTCTACAGTCTTGTGAAGCTATAGAATCCATAGCGGTACGTTCACCGAAGGGCACATTCACAAGCGCACGTGTCCACCTGCGCCAAGCATTCATCAGCACGTCTCTTACGCGTGACCGTGCTTTGTTCGCCCAAGGACACGTCGTTCAGAAGCACGCCGATTTGCCGGCGCTTAAGTTGTTCGTCAGCGCGTGCGAGCACTTGCACCGGCGCTCACCGTGTTCCCCCGTGTGCCACAGGCACGCGGCACAGCCTGGTGCTGGGGTGTGTGCGCGCCGAGGACGCCGGGGAGGTGGGGTTCTCCGCCGAGGGCGCCGAGTGCACGACTCGGCTCCGCGTCCGAGGTGAGGGTCCGGGGAGCCGTTGACTTTTTATTTTGTTTGATAATCTTTGGTGCTTTCGGTAAAATCATGTAGAAATTTATTTAATTAAATTCCTGCAGTCACGAAAGCTTCAAATCAAGTTTGTTTGACTGCTTTATTTTTAAAATATATATTTGTTTACACAAGCTGGTGATCGCAAGCCGCAGGTCCAATGGCTCATAACGTTATGCAGCCAGCAACCAGCGTTATTGTGAAGCCCACTGAGCTGGTCAGTCTTTGTCAGAGACGACCTGGCCACACGTGATAGCTCATCGAAGTAGCTGCCTATCATCAAACGTGGAAATGTATAGTTGCAGCCAAATAATCTAGATGCATGTTTCTAAATGTGTAGAGCATCCAGTGGCTGTGCTAACACAAGATAGTCTTATTACGTTGCCCACCGCAAAGCATTGCCTCAGAATCATTGGCATCATACACACATCTACGCCTCTATATAAGGAACGAAACAATAAGACTTCTCCACAAATCTGGCTGTCGCCTGATGAAGCTAGTTGTAATTACTGCCAAAACGTCGTACCCAGTTTGTAACTGTTGTGGCTTGGCTCTCCAACACACCGGTGTGCTGTACTAGTGACGAATTGGCCACGCTCTGTTTACGTGACAACCCTTACTAGTTGGCTGTGTCGGGTGGTGGCGGGTTTTAACGACACATTTATATATTGACGCGATCTAACCCAAAAACCTCTATTATGGATCATAAGTTGTCACAAACAATTTGCCATTGCGTCTTACGTTGATGACGACGACGACGGCTCTGATGGTACCACCACCCCCCCCCCCCCCACCCCCCCCCCCCCCCCCCCCCATCTTGCACGACCAGAGTTGCCGGTCCGCATCACAAAGCCGCTACGCGACAAGATCGCCATCGTGGGCCGGCGCGCCGTGCTCGAGTGCCGCGTGTCGCGCGCCACCACCCGCGTCTCCTGGCAGCACGGCGGGCGCGAGCTGGCGGCGGGCGAACGCTACCAGATGGGCGCGCAGGGCGAGTACCGCACGCTCGTCATCGTCGAGGCGGCCTTCAGCGACGAGGGCTCCTACACGTGCCGCGCCGGGGAGGCCTCGTCGTCAGCGCGGCTGCTCGTCGAGGGTACGCGCTGCCTGGCGCCACGCGCGTCCTCCAGCAACCGCGTGGAATTCGCGCCGTGTGCATCGCGTTTCGTGGGCTCGTAATGGCCGTAGCTGGGCACGAGTCGGCACCGATTTGATGGTTTGTGGAGGTTGGTGACGGTTTGTTGGAGGTGTCTGAGTGTTTTTATTATTGTCGATTATTTTGCTTGTTTACCCAGGAGAGAGTCCCATGACTGTTTTGTTCAGAAGGGTCCTTCCAAATTTACACAGTAGGGGGCGATGATTGCCGTGTATGCTGGATCCTAAAGGAGTAATTTAAAGGTATTTTTTCTATTATCCATAATATAATTTTTTTGGGTTAGGTCGCGTAAATATATAAATGTGTCGTTAAAACCCGCCACCACCCGACACAGCCAACTAGTGAGAGTTGTCACGTAAACAGAACATGCCAATTCGTCACTCGTACAACACACCGGTGTGTTGGAGAGCCAAGCCACAACATTTACAATCTGAGTACGACGTTTCGCCAGTAATTACAACTAGCTTCATCAGGCAACAGCCAGATTTATGGAGAAGTCATCCTGTTTGGTTCCTTAAATAGAGGGGTGGAAGGAACAAAACAGGCGGACTTCTCCACAAATCTGGCTGTCGCCTGATGAAGCTAGTTGTAATTAATGGAAAAACTTTGAACTCAGATTGTAAATGTTGTGGCTTGGCTCTCCAACACACCGGTGTGCTGTACTAGTGACGAATTAGCATGTTATGTTTACGTGACACACCTTACTAATTGGCTGTGTCGGGTGGTAGCGGGTTTTAACGACACATTTATATATTTACGTGACCTAACCCAAAAAACCTCTATTATGGAGGATATTGGTCGCGAAAGCCTACGTGTAATTTTTCTAATTTAGATAATGGCACTGGCACACTCTTGCACGGGATCTTTGAACATCCACTGTGAAACAGACGGCACGAAGAATGCTTAATGGTAAATACACCCGCAGTGATAACCAGGGCGGCCGCTGGAACCAAACCGTGAACCTCTGCAACAAGCGGAGTTCGTGTGACCGCGAGGACATATCCTCGCCAAATAATTCTTGAGATGTTGCGATGATGATGCTGGCGAGAGTAGCAATGTTACTGATGTACAAGGGGAGGTGGAGAACAGCTGCATGAAAGGGCAAGATTCTGGAGGTTGTGTCACCGCCTCAAATCAGTTTTGTTTTGAAGCCCTACCTTCTCAGAATTCTATTGTATTAATCATGGGGTGTTTTCAGTTCTCAATGTCAAAGTGTCTCCCCACTGAAACAAACATCGGGGCAACAACCCTATCCCCTAGTGGAAAGTCCACATTCTTATGACGGAGATCAGTCGATATTAAGGACAATTCTAATCCTGAAGTTTCAAGGAGTGTATATGAACTTTTACGCACAGTGATCGGGTACCGCACACTCTGCGTACCACACATATACACGCAGCGTGGGATACCGCACCTCCGATAAGCATGGTTGGCTGCATACGGTGGGAAAGAGTTTAACATAATACTGTGTAACGATTGTGCTTTTGGCTCACTCGTCCCCGGAAGATTGTCGATTATTTTCTCTGTGGGACATCAAGCATATAAACTGCAGATGAGACCACTGCCTTGCGCTTATTTGAGGATGGAGACATTATGACTTCAGGTGGTCGTACATGCTCGCACATTCTGCACTTGTGATTAATAATAATGTACAGACCTATGCGTGTCAAGTCACGGAGGGGTTGTTTGACCACACTGTGTGCATCCACGCTGTTCAGTGAAAGGGAATGGGACACTGAAGACCGGTTCATGTTATTTTTATAAATCAATTGCTGATACTTTTCATGTTAATGATTATGCTGGTGCTGTCGATAATGTTGATGACAATGCTAGCAACACTGATGTTTATGTTAATATTGATAATTCGCTTTACCCAGGAAAACCTCTCTTGAGTCTGGTGACTTTTTTCAGGATGATCCTTCATTGGCTTGTTGAAAGTATTTGGCTGCTACAAATTTCCACATAAGCCCCTTCATTGAGCTATCATTTGTGGCCAGGTCGCTTCTAAAAAAGAGCTATTTAGCTCAGTGGGGCTTACCTGCTAAAATATATATTTTTTATAGATTAGCTTAGTTTAATGAAGGAGTACTTGGCATGATAATGATGATGCTGTCCATGATGCTGCTGAATCCGTTTTCGAGAATGCTAAAGCTAACATTGGTGCTGCTGTTGACGATTAACCCTCGCGATGACCTCATCGTTGGGGCGCCGCTCGTCTTTTGCGCTGCAGACCAAGTGCTCCAGGTGACGCGTGAGCTGCAGGACGTTCGGGTCCCGTCCTCGGGCACCGCTGTCTTCGAGGTGGAGCTTTCGGGCCCCGCGGCGCGGCCCCCGCGCTGGGCCCTCAACGGGACGCGGCTCCGCGACGGCAGCGGTGGCGCCCACATGGAGGCGCGTGGCACTGTCTACCGCCTCTCGCTGTTTGAGCTGCGAGCCTCCATGAGCGGCCTCGTCGAGTTCTCTGCCGGGGAAGCCAAGAGCTCGGCGCGGCTCACGGTTGCGTGAAGGGGCACCGAGACGGCAGCCGTGATGAGGGGGCCTCGGTTTGATCCCTGGTGCCGGGGCTGTCCTTGCTGCCTGGTGGCGGGGCGTCCATAATGACGGTGCCGTGTTGGAACCAGAACTGGCACGGCAGAGATCCTGGGTTTGAGCGCTGAGGTTGAGTAGCGTTTTGCTGTCTCGTAGCGGATGTCCATAATGGTGGTGTTTGAGATGCTGAGTTGGCACTGCAAGGAGCATGAGTTTGAGCTCTTAAGGTTGGGTGGCTATTGTTGTTTCATAGGGGGAGGTTCACAGTGACTGTGTCAAAACTGCTGAACCACCATGGTAGGGTTGCTAGCTTCAGGCCCCGGGGCTGGGCGTATATCTCTCTGTTACACAAATGGGAGGGGTTTATAATGGCCATGTCAGAGAGACTGAGTATGAACCACCGAGGTGCAGTGTTTGAGCTCTGTAGATGTGTGTGTCTCATTGGCTTACAGAGTTCATAATGGTTGTTTGAGATGCTGAGTCAGTTCTGCTGAGATCCTGGGTTTGAGTCCTGGGTCTGGGATTCTCTTTCACAAACAGGGTTTATAACCATCTTGCTGAGATCCCATGATTAAGACCTAGGGTCGGGTGTTTTTTGTTGTCTCAAAGGGGCATTCATAATGACTTTGACTGAGGCACTGAGCCATCACCGCTGAGATCTTAGGTTTAATCCTGGGGGCCTTTCACCGGCTCATAATGGTTCTATCTGAGTCAGCACCACTTGGTGGTTTGTGGAGGTTGGTGATGGTTAGTGGGAGGTTTATATTGGTTTCTGGATGTTGGTGGCTGACAGATGTCAATGGTTGAGATGATGATGTTGGTGGCAAAAGTATACATTTTACTAATGTAGGAGAAAAATTGAACAAGGTCGTGTCACCCCCTTTACTCAGTTTTTATTTTAGCCTTCATGATATTAATCATGGAATGAAGATTACATGGTAGCAGCCCTGAACTACTGGTCGAAATTCCACTTTTATATGATGAGGACCAGTTGATCCAGAGGACAATTCTGATCCTGATGTCTAATTTGCAATAAAAAACCCACAGGCTGAAATTTGAAGAATTGTCTGTGAACTCTTACAGAAGGTGTAACTCAAAAATTAAACTGCTCTTGTAGAAATGTATTAAAGTGATGTCACTACATTGACATTATTAAACCGTATGGGAGTAACATCACGATAGTGCCAGAAGGACATGCCTGAACCTACCTTCAAAGATATATATAGTATTTTACCAACAATGACATTTTAAACTCATGTGGAACAGCCCAGAGACACTCAGTCGAGGCGAGCAGCTACAAGATAAGAGCTGTTGGGTTGTGTCTTCCTTTAACCTGGTCACGGCGATTCGTTTTGTGATCCCCACAAGGCTTTGTGCGCCCTTCACTTTGTTGGGGTTAACTCGGCTGTTCAGCCCCCTATGTGGGCGATACATTGGTTGTCGTATAAATATACTCACATTTACAATGGGAATGTGGAATTTCCACCACTGGTTCAGCGCTGTTAATAAAAGATGAGCACCGTCCAATATTGATTTGCACTGAAAACCACTCTTGACTCTTTTTTGGCCCGATTGGCACAGGCCGGTAACAATCATATGTGGAAAATGACGTTAAATAGAGATGTTTCTTAAACCATTGCAAACTGATAACTCGCCTCAAGGAGGTACTTAATGTATTTGGAGTATTTTAATGAGCAGATTTATATTCATGTAAAAATAGTAAATTGATCGATAAAAGCTAACATGAAATGATGACTCGTTGGTTTTACAAACATCGGTGAAATAAACACATACGAGCGTCTGATAGACCCTAATTAAACAAACACAACGAGGTGATTGTGTGGCTCAGAGTCAGAGATACCGTGATCCTGGGCCTGAATCCAGGTCTCACGCACCCGTGGTAAAAGTGGCTTTCACCTGTAGCAAGTTGCCGGTCTCCGCCCGCTCCAACAATTCAACAAAAAAGTAATCGCATCAAAAAAATTCCGCTTTAAATTCATTTGTTAGGTTTGTTTTTGATGTACAATTATTATTTTTTTGCAGGTTAATAATATATTTTTTGGGGTTCGGCCAATTATAAATTGTAAGGTTGGCTGTCAAAAAAACTACGTGTTGAGTTCGCCTTTGCCGGGAATTAAAATGTTTGCCTCTCGTGTGGATAAAGAAGCAGGATGAAGTGACGAGACTGTGCTTTCATTGTCCGGGGCTCTCTGACTCGGGGTGGTGCACTACTTGTTGAGAGAGCTCGAAGTGGAAAGTTCATTGTCTCGAGACACGACGTTGATAGCACAAATCGAATGTATGTTGAACTTCTTTCGCACCGTACGTAGCCAACCGTGTTAATCTGAGGTGGGGAGGAAGGACGTCAATCTATACACAAAGCAGTTCTAAAGAAAAAGGCCTCTTGAATAATGGCCACAGTGATGATGTTAACATGGCTAACCTCATGATGAGAACTTCGCACCTTCCATAAAACAATTCACGAGTTGCCATGGAGAGCACTGGCACTGAATGAAGGGTGCCTCTGGATGAGGTGTACATACGAATGACTCACTTCGGCAGTTATTCATTAACACTTGATGTGGAATTAAAACCAGTGTATACTGTTAAGTATTCAATGTAAATTCAGTATAAAGGTGGTACATGCACACAATAAGCTGGTGGGGGGGGGGGGGGGGGGCGAATATTCACGAGTGAAATCAGAGATAATCTCTGTACCCCTTAGTTCACGCACGTTTTCCATTCTCGAATCCTTTGCAAATTCACTTTAACTTGTCAGTGCACAACTTTAGCGAAGCATGTGAGAAGGTGCGGGGCCACTTCGTGTGAATAAGGGGAAAATGAAGGGATCTAGCAAGTGTTTCTGTTAGAGGGGGGCCTGGTGATTCGGGGGGGGGGGGGGGGTGGATTAATATGGCCGTGTCAGAACCACAGAACCAGTCCCGTTGAGACGCTGCGTTCGAAGCTACGTTTCAGCCACTTGTGGTTAAACCAAGTACGCAAATACAGTGAGTTGTTGGTCTCAGTCATGCCCCAGTGACTGCATGATTTTAAAAAAATAACATTAAATTTGGTTTTTACGTTGGCATATTTTCAGCTCTGAGGATTACAACGTAGTTGGTGTGACTGCCATGCGACGCAACGAAGCACTTCTTGTCACATAGCACGTGGTGATGATATCACCTGGTACAGATAAGAGGCAATTGAAGGTATTTCTGGTATGTCATCTTGCAAAAGCCATTAAATAACACCATCTCATGTCACAATGCTCACTGAAAAAGTTCTGAATGGGAATTTGTCTCGTGGCAGCATGACAACAGCGCATATTGGAAGGCAATTTGGAAAAAGTAAGCGAGAAAAAGAGAAAAAATTGTGCACTATGGCTTGTGATAATGTTTGCATACGTGAGTTTTGAGCAGAGACGTATAATAATCACTTTATTAAAATAAGTATTCAATTGGATGTGTCACGTGGTTATATCTGCATGTTGCGTCCATATTATTTTGAAGCCGGGTGAGTCAGGTGGCACGTTGGCCCCTTCCTGCTGAAATTAATCGAATCGATTTAATCAAACACCGATGTACAGGAGGGACAATGGAAATGCACGGCTTTTGGGGATTTTATAAATACCAAAGAATGACCATTCCTGGTGGCACCTTTTATTAATCCTTGCGGTCTGAAAAAAGCGTGCGTATCTGTGCGTCAGTTTGTCTTTGCGCGTGTGTGTCTATGTATGAGCAGCGGGGCAGTGGTTTGCACGTTGGATTATGATCCCGGGCAATTGGTTCAATCCCGAGCCACGGCAAACATCATTTATGATTGACCTTATCTTGGGCTTTCCGAAGATCAACTCGGCAGATAATTTACGAGTTCCCTCGTGAGTGTGTAAACATCAGCAATGGAGATAAAGGTGCCTTATGTGGGACTGGCCACATCACCCCCTCGTATGCGTTGCAGACAACTTTTAGTAGGTGCCCACTAACAGCACTTGCCTCAACAGCCAATTTAAGCCACACGGGGGAGCTCTGTCATTGCATTTACAGTATGTATATGTCTATGTGTTGATTTGTATTATTCGTGTGGATGTGTTGTCTCTTCGAATCAGTCGACCGGCATCTATTCTTCGGCTGTGCAACGCTGTGTGGAAGCTGCCCGGCCTGCCACTTGACAGGTCTCGGACACAGTTGTGCCTTCTATTTATGCTTACACCTACACTGTCTCTAAACATTCAGACTGTCCTCTCTACGATCCATCCTGAATTTGGATTGCTTGAGGAGCTCACAGATCCTTCAAATATACAGACACATCAGTGAGCTCCGGCAAAGCAAGGCTGCGTTGGCTGGATCATATATGTGGAGGAAGCTCGTGAAGGACGCGACTGGGCAGTGAGGTTAATTAATCTTCCTCTTACAACAACAGAGGGAAAGAAGCAACGCTCACAAAAACTGTTAGATCGTCAGGCGGTGAAAACAAAGTTGGCACAGTAGGGAGCACAGGTGTTGCATCTGCCAGTCATCTCAGTGAGTCAACCCATAACACCTGGGTCTGTCAATGGACCTCCTGCCAGAGAACCTTTGACACTCCTCGTGGCCATCAAGTGCATCTAGCCTGGCGCCGTAACTTAAGTGTTGAATGGCGGCTGATGTGAGTGGCGTTGGTGCCTTGACTGAGGTTAAATGTTCAATGCACATCTCCTGCACGACAGGCAAATGTCTCTAAATCATACCTGCAAGTTGCAGCCTGTGGTCTTTTTGGCTCTGCACCTTTAGATGGGAGATTCAGCACAACATTGTCAGCATTCTCAAACATCCGCTTGGGTTTTTCCTGCCAAATAAAACAAGGCCTTGGCGCTGTTTGAATAAATAGTTTGTGTCTCTGCCCCTTAGGCCAGTGCTGTAAATTCCATATTGCCATGGTAAGGGGACTGTCCAAAAAGACGGCCAACTGTTGACTTACCACAAGTGGTGGGTGGGTCGTTTTGTATCCATCCTGGAGCTATGATGGATGTATGTATGTGTACACACCTGTCAACCCCTTGTCAGTGCCCTACTTTATTACAGACCCATTGGACCTTGTTGGTCACCCCGTGCCTTTCTAAATCTCGACGTTCATCCCACAAAGTCCCATCACAAGGGAGAAACACAAACAAATAGACAAAAAAAATGTTTCCCGTATTGAAACGGACGTACGCCGTATGGGCCTGACAACTCAATTTCCCTGTACAAGAATGGGAGTAAAACATCTGGGTGTGTACAGTGCCGGATTAAGCTAGTACGGGGCCTGTAGCATATTTTATAAAGGGGCCCTAAATAAAAAAAAACACACAAATATTAAAACAATTTTTTACTTGCATAGTAGAGTAATTATATTTTTTCATTTTCTATATGGCCAGATAATACGACAAATCGCTAACCTTAAACATCCAGTCATTCATAAAATTTGAAGGCAGTATAGTACCATAGTAATAGAGCAAGTGCAGAATCGCTGAACCGGAATTTATAGCTTGAAAGCATTTAGCGCGGGGCCCTTGAAAGTGCGAGGAGCGTAGCTACATATGCAGCTACTTTTGATACTAGGATAATAATTCGGCACTGGGTCTGCACGATGCAGCATCTTGGGCTTCTGCAGTTTTTGATGCGCTATAAACTGAATTGAGTACCATTGCGCCTGTAAGGGATTTTTGGTCAGGCGAAAACGAATGACAGGCCACACATATGCCCATGTGGCTTACCATATGGGGGAACGTAGTGTGTGGTGCCACGACCACGGAGCAACTCCGCAAGCGCCGCGATTCCCTCCCGGTCCCCGCACTAAACACACACTCGCACGCAGCGCATCCACGTAGTGTCCTGGTGGGGAATTGCCTGGCACATCGGGTTTTAATCCGAAAGGCCCCTAGAGGGAGAGTCCCACGGTTTCCCAGTGCCAGGAGATTGGCCGACCCTCGCAGGACATGTTACATTGCGATGCCCCTAAAATTGGCTTAAAATTGTATGGGCGCAGAAAGAAAAGGTTCCCTGCGCCAACCGCAATGAGTTACAATATTGGGGGGAGGACGGAGGGCGGAATATTAAGCAAGCAAGAGCCCTTCCAGACAATGGGCAACGAGGGACTATGGGTGGCCGGCGCCGCCGCCGCGGCACCCAAGGAAGGACGCAGTAACAAGGGGGCGTAACCACAGGTAGGCGCACAATTGGTCGCCCAGGACAAACACCATCCTGGCCCTTTGAAGTGAGGGGATTAGGCCACGGTAGAAAGGAGGAAACAAGAGCGCGAGGGCGCAGGTAAGCGCACGATTGGCTGCGTGGTATGACGTCACCCTGGGCCTTTGAAGTTTAGAGAATAAAAAGGGGGTCCCCGGACGATTTTCGGTCAGTTGTCTGCAACCCCCGGGCCGTCAAGACCCTCTCCCTGCCGTCCTGCCTCTTCAAACCACTCACAGTATCCGTGTGATGCCAGCGAGTGCTGCTGCGAGACAGTGATCAGTCAAGTCTTCTTTCGTCCTTCTCCCCCCCGAGTCTCTCAGTGTCCGTGGGACGCCGCGAGTCCAACTTCGAGGTACGGGGTAGGACGTTTTAGCGGCTGGGTTCTTAGGCAGAATTAGGCTAGGTTCCTTCCTGCGAAATATTCCCCCTCCAGGTAGGGTGTATTTGCGCCATTAATAAACTTTAGTTCAGAGTATCAGTGCAGTGTGATTTCTGTGTGTGTGGGTAGAACCTCGGCGTGGTGCCTGCGATTGGTGTGCGGTGCGACTGCGCGGGGAGACGGCGTGAGCGAGAGAGCGAGCGCAGGCCTGCAGCGTCGGCGCGGCGGTGGTAATTTCAGCGTGTGGGTGAGGCGTGCGTGTATTAAAACATTCACGGCCGTTGACGCTCGCGTGTGCTTACGCGCGCGCGTGTGAAAAAAAACGCGCGCCTGCAGCGTGCCGCGTGAGTAATTAGGGCGGGGATGCGATAAACGCGCGCTCGTGCGCGTTTGCACAGCGACGATAGCGATAACGGCGAGGCGCGCGTGCATATTCATACAGCCCTTTAGCATTAGCTTTTTTGTGCAACGGATTAGGGCTTAGCCACCCGGAGGGGCGCGCGCGTATTAATACCGCGCTAACCTTTGCGCGGAATAAGCGCCTGTAGAGGGGCGCACGTGGTTACGCGTGTGTGTGTGTGTGCGCAATGCGCGCCTGCAGGGGCGCGCGCGTGCACGCCTCGGCGTTCGCTTGTGTGGTGGTGGTGTCCGTGGGCGTGTGGTGGTGAGCCAGCCACTTAGCCATGTCCCTCGGAGAGGGCGCTGGCGTGGGGGGGGGGGGCGATCACCCGATCGGCGGGGGTCCGGCGAGAGGCGGACGAGGAGGGGGGAGTGAAGGGGGTGGACGTCGGCCCCCCACAAGTGCCCATTAAGGCGAAACATTCCGTTTTCCCGTGCTGGTAGTGTATGGGCATTCGGGGAGGTTTTTTTCGTCTTCTTTTTGAAATTCCTTTGTAGTCTGTCCCGTTTTAAAAGCAGAAACACGCAACAACATATGGGCACGAACGTAACAAAGATGAATATCCCTCTCCTCTCCACGCCCCCCCCCCCCCCCCCCCCCCCCCCCCACCATATCGTCGTTTAACCCAGGGGTCCCCAACTCCCGGGTCACGGTCCGGTCCGTGACCTGTTAGGAACCTGGCCGCACAGCAGGAGCAGCAGCACGAGGTGTGAGCGTTGAGTCCACGCGTGGCCCACCCATCACTTTATTATTCACCACTGCCGTCCCGCGCCTCTTTCCCGCACTGCGCACTCGTCTGAGTCGCAGTGTTTGGTATAAAGCCCACAAGCTAACAACCCTAGTAGCCAAAATTAGTTAAAACAAACGTCGATGGAGAGCTTCTTTGAAAAGGGGGAAAGACCCAATGATGAACCCCCCCCACCACCACCCAGTCCGTGAAAAAATTGTCTTCCACGAAACGGGTCCCTGGTGCCGAAAAGGTTGTGGACCTCTGGTTTTAGTGGGCCAAGCGCTGTGTGAACGAGGCCACCTTACATGGCGAGCGAGTAAGGTGGCGGAGGGGTGGGATCAAGCACCACACCTGATGCGTTTACACAGCCACACCAGGTACAGTGCTCATTTAAGTCCGAGTCGACCTAGGGGGAGACCACCACCACCCCTTCCCCCCCAGCCGTGACCTTGGTTCTGATTCAGACGTTGGTCGCGAGCGTGCGGAGTGGTGGTGGGGGGTCCAACGTCGCGAGTTCGTCGCTCCAACCGCAGCGCCACCGCTCCTTCCCCCACTCGCACAAAACAACGATAACCTCCCCCCCTCCCTCCTCCTCCTCGTGTAAGCCTGCGACAAACTGCTGGGGCAAGTGCTGCTGTTAGCGAGTAGCGACCTACAAAGTCCGGCAACAGTGGTACACGAGCTGGGGGTGGTGACCAACAACCACGCCCGGCCGCCTTTGTCTCTCCCCCCCCTCCAAATGGCGATGTTGACGACGCACCGCACCGGGTGGTCATTTGAGGCTGAGTCGACCTAGGGGAGGAGGCCCAGGACCCGTTCAAGATAGTCGTCAACTGTGTGCGCGTTGTAGTTGGTCGGGTTCGTAGCTGCTGCGCTAACTGCTGCGCCACCGCTCGCACGCCCGGCCACGCACAGGCACCGCCCTCGGCTCACTCCCTCCCCAGTTGGAGGTCGCACGCACACCCCACTACGGACACAGCACACACACACAGAGACAGCACACAGCATACACAGACAGCACACACACAGAGACAGCACACAGCATACACAGAGACAGCACACACAGACAGCACACACACACATAGACAGCACACAGACAGCACACACACCCCACCACGCAGACAGCAAACACACAGATAGCACACACACACAGCACACCCCACCACATAGCACACACACAGACAGCACACACACAGACAGCACACACACAGCACACAGCACACACACAGACAGCACACACACAGACAGCACACACAGCACACACACACAGCACACACAGCACACACACAGACAGCACACACAGCACACACACAGCACACACACAGCACACACAGCACACACACACAGACAGAACACACAGACAGCACACACACAGAGACAGCACACACACAGACAGCACACACACAGACAGCACGCACACAGACAGCACACACACAGCACACACACACATAGACAGCACACACACACACAGCACGCACACACACCCCACCACGCAGACAGCACACACACAGACAGCACACACACAGACAGCACACACACAGACAGCACACACACAGACAGCACACACACACAGCACACACACAGACAGCACACACACAGCACACACACACATAGACAGCACACACACACACGGCACGCACACACACCCCACCACGCAGACAGCACACACACAGACAGCACACACACAGACAGCACACACACAGACAGCACACACACACAGCACACACACAGACAGCACACACACAGACAGCACACACACATCACACACACAGCACACCCCACCACACAGACAGCACACACACAGCACACACACACAGACAGCACACACACACACACAGCACACACACACACAGCACACACACAGCACACACACATAGCACACACACAGACAGCACACACAGCACACACACAGCACACACGCACACACACACAGCACACACACACAGTCTCTCTCTCTCGTGAGTGCCGGGGTGGTGGTGGGGGGGCACACGAGAGGCGGTGGTGGTGGCCATGACCCGCGGCGACGTCGCGCTTTAGAGAGAGAGGCGGAGCGACAAGACAAAAGAAGAAGAGGCGGACGGGGAAGAGGTAGGGAGAGAAAAGGTTGTGGGTAGGGAGAGAGAGAGAGACACGGGGCAGGGGAGAGGTAAAGAGGGGAGGGGGGCGAGAACTCAGATTGTGATTATCGATCACCTACCTGCACGACGGAGGTGGGGAGTGCAGGCAAGGTGGTGGGCAGCTGGGTGAGCTGGGGGACGAGGAGAGCAACCGAGAGACAGGGAGACAGCGAGGGGTGTGGACAAAGGGGAGGAGGACACGGACAGGGAGACAGGGAGACTTTGGGGCGGACACAGAGACAGACAGGGAGACTGTGAGACAGAGACAGACAGGTAGACTGTGAGACAGAGACAGACAGGGAGACTGTGAGACAGAGACAGACAGGTAGACTGAGTCGGAGACAGACAGGGAGACTGTGAGACAGAGACAGACAGGTAGTCTGTGAGACAGAGACAGACAGGGAGACTGTGAGACAGAGACAGACAGGTAGACTGAGTCGGAGACAGACAGGGAGACTGTGAGACAGAGACAGACAGGTAGTCTGTGAGACAGAGACAGACAGGTAGACTGAGTCGGAGACAGAGACAGACACAGACAGGTAGTCTGTGAGACAGAGACACACACAGAGACAAGCCAGAGACACACAGAGACAAGACAGAGACACACACAGAGACAAGACAGAGACACACACAGAGACACGACAGAGACACACAGAGACAAGACAGAGACACACACAGAGACAAGACAGAGACACACACAGAGACAAGACAGAGACACACACAGAGACAAGACAGAGACACACACAGAGACAAGACAGAGACACACAGAGACAAGACAGACAAGACGACGCGATGTGGTGTTGGAGTCCTCAGACCCCGCGGGACGACGAGAAGCAGAGCAACGTGAACACGGCGAGCGAGGCGGTCAAGAGGATGGGTGCGTGCAGTGCACACAACAACAACAACACAACAACAACAACCACAATAAACACGGTACACAAACACCGTACACGTGCACAACATACCCACAGAGTATATATACCCACAGAGTATATATACTCTCCACACAGATGTCGGCGATGCATATAGTGCACACGGTAACAAACTGTACTCCACGTAGCATGTACACACACACTGCGAGAACTTAAGTGGCGTCTTGCTGTGTAAACAGCACACAGACAGCACACACACATCACACACGTGCGTGTTGTGTGTGGGCTATGTCTGTGTCTGTATACACAGCACACAGACACAGCACACACGTGCGTGTTGTGTGTGCTGTGTCACAGCACGCACACACAGCACACACGTGCGTGTTGTGTGTGTGTGCTGTGTCTGTATACACAGCACACAGACACAGCACACACGTGCGTGTTGTGTGTGCTGTGTGTGCTGTGTCACAGCACACACAGACACAGCACACACAGCACACACGTGCGTGTTGTGTGTGTGTGCTGTGTCTGTATACAGAGCACACAGCGCACAGTACACAGACAGCACACACGTGCGTGTTGTGTGTGTGCTGTGTCACAGCACACACACAGCACACACACAACACAGCACACACGTGCGTGTTGTGTGTGTGCTGTGTGTGTGTGTCACACACACACACAGCACACACGTGCGTGTTGACACAGCAACGCATTGCAGTATATATGCCATGTTTACGCGGTACATGTACTGTACATGGGTGGGTACAGTATTACATAATACTTATATGATTACATTATACTTAAATAACCATGCGAACACACATGTCACGTGAGCACACACACACACTACAAAGACATGCATGCACACGCATCACATGGACACACAAAGACAGAGTACCCCCTCCGTGTAGCCTGTAGCAGGTACTCATTTTGAGACTCAGTCGACCTAGGGGAGGTCCAGGACCGGTTTCAGATAATCGCCACTGATGGGGGCCGTGAGCGGGAATCGAACCTTGGTCACCGGGTTCGTATCGCAGTGCGCTGACCACTGCACTACCGCTGCGCATACATTAACACACATACACACACATACCTACACACGTGCACATACACATCACATACCTACACACACACCTACACACGTGCACATACACATCACATACCTACACACACATACCTACACACGTGCACATACACATCGCATACCTACACACACATACCTACACACGCGCACATACACATCACATACCTACACACACATACCTACACACGTGCACATACACATCACATACCTACACACACATACCTACACACGTGCACATACACATCACATACCTACACACACATACCTACACACGTGCACATACACATCACATACCTACACACACATACATACACACGTGCACATACACATCACATACCTACACACACATACCTACACACGTGCACATACACATCACATACACACACGTGCACATACACATCACATACCTACACACATACCTACACACGTGGACATACACATCACATGAGCATACACACGCATACCTACACACGTGCACATACACATCACACGAGCATACACACGCATCACATGGACACACATCACACGAATAAACACATGCCTACGAATAAACACATGCCTACACACAGGCACACGTCCCACGAACACACATCACATAGACACACATCACACGAATACATACACACATAATCTACACACACATCCCACGAACACACATGCACATACACACATGCACATAGGCACACATCATACGAATACATACACACATAATCTACACAAATCCCACGAACACACATGCACATACACACATCACGTAGACACACATGCCACGAACACACATGCCTACACATATGCATGCGCACACACACATCACATGAACACATGCACATCACACGACGTCTGTACAAACCATGTACTTTGGACTGTAAGTTGACTTTGGCCGAGGAAATGAATGTGTTTATTCAGGGGGGTGTACGACCCCCCACTCCTGCTGATAAATCCCTTTTCATCCCCTTGGCGGGGACCTAGAGTCAACGTGGGAACCCAGTCCAAACTCGTTTTAAATCATAAGATAACATGAAGGTATTCAGTAAAACATCTTCTTCTTCTGTAAAGATATATATAATACTGTAATGGCAACAGCCAAACGTCTCTTGTTCGAATGCGCCTGTGGTCTCATCTATGTTGACAGCTCTCATGCATTACTGGAAATTCCAGATTCCTATGGCAGGATCAAGTATAATATCTCGTAATTTACACAGTGCGATTAAACTCACAAATGTGTCTCATAGGTACAATACCAAGCACCTGGCTGTACAGTACCGTACAATGCTGTAATGTATGTCTTTGATATTTGCTAGTTTTGAGTGGGATATGTGATATTTTTTTTTCAGATGATTTATTTTGTATCCGCTTGTTTGTTTACACTTTACAGTAACCATAACCGTAGCGCATCGCGCGGAAACATTGATTGGTTATTGTGAAGTGAGTGGACGGAGGACTTGTTTGCAGGTGTCAATGCATCATATATAACATATCAACCCATACGGTTTAGCCGTATTCTTGTGCAGAGAAATTTGAGTGTTCAGGTCCGTACGGTGTACGGACTTTTCAATACGGGGGGGGGGGGAGAAATGTTTCTGTTTGTGTTTCTCCCTGATGATGGAACTTTGTAGGTTGAACGTTGAGATTTATAAGGGCACGGGATAACCAATAGGGTCTGAATTGGTCTGCAATAAGGGAAAACCGTAAGTTTCAAACAGCACACAGACCTCAGTGGTTTTTGCGTGATGCACAGAGGCCGAGCGGTGTTTTTTTGTTTGTACAAACACGATGGTGTTTTGTGTGTTTGTGTGAAATTCACTATTGTGTGCAAGCACAACCCTTGACAGAGTTTCACTTAAGCGGGTGTGGCCCTGACACCTGATCTGTGTTGTCAGTGTTCAGAGATCCTGGACTACTACCCCCAAGTCGACTCAGAATTGAGTGAAGTATACCCCTCCTGCGGTTTGTAAGCGTCAGCACAAGGAAGGTGCTGGTCATACACAACCACCCTGTACACTTTAATATTAATGCTGACTATAACAGCACATGCACAACGAGTTTGCATAGCTATAGGGGGGGGTGGGGGGGGAAATCTTTTTTTTGCGTGTACATTTGTGCTTGCTGTGCATCTGACAGTCATCTCAGTCAACCTGGGTCTGGCCCGTGACCTTCTGTAAGCAGCGAGCCTTCCCATTCTCACGTGGCCTCAAAGTGCACCTAGCCTGGCACAAGAGCTGTTGGTGATGACACTATTTCTTCAAGAGAGAGAGTGGGCCCTTTGCCTTTAACATCTGGCGTTTCATTCGCATTAGTTCTGCAAGCTTGCATGGTCATATACTGAAATGTCGAAACCGGTCTAGTTTTCTTGTCCTGAATCAACGCTGCTGAAATGATGCACTCCGTGAAGGCGGAGGGTGACAATGAGTTGTGTTAAAGTACTTATATGTATTTATGCGGAGGGACATATATATGAAGAAGGTATTATATCACCCGCTTGTTTATTTTAGTTTCACCAGCATTTGTGCGTATTATGGGTTCACAGCATAGCCTGCTACGGTACATGTGTTCGTCGTGTATGTGCGTAAATGGGTGTGTTACTACGGTATGCGTGTCGGTCTATGTGTATGCGTGGGTGTGGAGTGCTGTATATGTGTGTGTCTGTGGGCGTACATTAGAGTATATACCGTGCGTATATTCCCTTAAGGTGTCGTGTTAGGGTTACATTTCAGTATGTGCCCATGAATTATGCATACATAACAAAGCGTCACGCTGACACATTGCCAACAAGCCTGTGCACATGTGGCTAAATTAAGCGTGCCATTTACGCATTATTCACATATCACGTATGCTTCCACTCATACTGCACATATTGTACTCTATGCTGCTGTCACGTCATGTTCGATAACTGGGCGGTGGTCATTTTCATCTCGAATGAGTACCCGGAAATTCCACATTCATATGACAAGAGCTCGGTGGATTAGCACGGTCAGAGTTTATTTAGTTACACATGTCACCCCAACATTTTTTTTTGTCCCGATTTTTGCTGTCGGCTAAGGCAATCCCTTCATGTTTTTTTTTATTGACGTCAACTTCGTGGAGCACGTTACGTTTTGTAATTGTTATGCAGTTAAATTTTGATTTAAAAGCTTTCGTGACTGCAGGGATTCATATTCTTGGTTCTTTCGGTAAAGTCACCACGTAGAAGGGAAACAATAAAATAATAAAAATATAAAACAATACAATTCTCACGACGTTTCGACTGCAACACAAGCAATCATCATCAGGTGTGAAAACCACAGCAAGAAAATTTGAAAAAAGTGGCGGTTTTTTTAACGTCAGCACCACGGAGAGCGATTTGACAGTTTGTTCAGATGGACGAGTCCATCTATGTTCGGAAAAGTGAAGGGGGGAGACGAAAAATAATGGATGCGGTCTGAAAGCCACCTTAAGCGTGATCAATCAATTAAAACCCGAAATGGTTTATCAAGTCCTCCCAATGATTGCTAAGCCAGAATCCATCTTCTCGGTTGAAATTGCCTCTGTGTTTGCATATGTGGATGGCCTCATGAACGAATCTATCATGGTAGCCAGATGGCTACCATGACTTTATCGAAAGAACCAAGAATATGTTATGCAGTTATTAGCACTCAAGAGGCTGCAGACATCGTCAACTAAACTGGAAAACGTCCAGTTTTTTATAATGTTTGGCATATCCCCGCAGGTGTATGCTGATTGCGCTATTAATGTCATGTCATGAGATGAAGCATTCATTCAGATCTCTCGCAGAACAGTGTGACCCTCCATGTCAGAGAACGGCTCGCAGAAGCGGATATCACAGAGCTACCTCTGGGACCCCTCTCAAGTTGACTTCTGGTCGACGCATAAAGGGGGCGGCACTTCCCCATCCACTCTGCATGCTACAGTGCCGTCCGTCGCATGACGCTCCAATATGTTTCATTCTCAGAGCTGGAATTAAGAAAAATTACATTGTCGTGAATGTCGCACCTCCTCTCGTAAACTGCCGCCATTTCGTAAACAAATCGAAAATGATTCACACACGCCTGATTTGAGGAAATGCATCATGAGTGTAAGCAAATCAATTTGAATAGATGAATATACGCATTGTTACATGCCTCTTTTACCCGTGTGGTGTATGTAGAATCTGTAGTGGTGTGAATCTTCGGCATTTACAGTTGTAGCTGTACATTAGGAAGGAATGGACGAAAACGGGAGAGGCCTTTGTCCACCATGAGGGAAGTTACAGGCTGACAACATATATTTACTATAGCCACATAAGAATTTATAAGAATTGATGCCCACATGCATAGTCTGATGTATAGTGGATGAGTCGTTACATGCCTCCTGTTTAATGTAAATCACTATAAGTCCAGCCTACAAGCTTGAGCTGGGGCACGCAAGTATGCCAGGATTGTGTGGGCAGCGCCTGGAGGCTATAACCAAGCAGTCGTGTGGAAACTTTAAAAATACAATTTTGCACTCTTTATTACACTCAGAGGTACAGAGAGAACAGATTTTAGAAGCTCGTGCGCATGGCAAGCCATTGACTCGCCCGTGATCATACTCACCGCTCTGATTATCATCGATGCCTTTTAAATTATTTATCCCTGAATGGAGCCAAATGAGACAAGGGCTGTGTTGAACTGACATCAAGTATCTTGTTGTTCTTCAATGCTTTGCTCTTCGGCACCGTTGGGGAACATCTGCTCTTGTTGCCTCAATGCATGAGTGCTGCCTCCAAGGTGTTCTGCTTCTTCCCTGATCTGTTTCAACGTCAAGTTATGGGTGGGCCAAGTGGGATAGGGCCTTGGGAGCTGACAGCACACATGGATGCCCACATTAGGCCATGTGACCATTAACATCGACACGCATGCACAAAATCTCGTACGTGCGATTTAACACGGCATAGTCACAAATGTATTGTCACGATTCAGGGTTGTGCTTTGATTCAAGAATCAATAACTTTTTAACAATGTATAGGTTCCGGAGTAGCATTAGGGGCCGCAAAAACTAACTAGCTGGCACATATATGACTTGAAAATAGCTTCACGTTCCAGTGTGTGACACAGTCACACACTGGAACGTGAAGCATGCCTGACATAGTCTCACAAGCTTTGGAACGTACACCTCAACGTCACATAACAACAACAACAACACCCACCATCCGCCGCTAAGTGGCGGTGACGTTACCACGGCGCCTGTGCCAGGCCAGGAGCACCTTGAGGCCACAGGAGCACCTTGAGGCCACGTGAATTGCCGAAGGGTCGCTGATGGGAGGTCACGTGACAGACCCAGGTGCCATGGTTTGACTGACTGAGATGACTGGCAGATGCACCTGCTGTGCCCCCTACTATGTCAACGTCACATACACGCACTGGAACATGCATAACACACGCATGTACGCTGGCATTACGCACCTGTATATATTTGTACCTCTTTCGCACCGTACGTAGCCAACCGTGATAATCGGAGGTGCGGGGGAAGGACAGCAAACGGACACAAAAAGCAGTTCTTAAGAAATGAGTTTTCAATCAAGATTTAAAAGTGCATCACTCCAGTGGCTTCCTAATAACGGAAGGAAGAGCATTCCAGACAGCTCTAGAAGTGCATATGAACGTGCGAGATGCGGTGATCGTCTTTGTTCGATGACTAGCTAAAATCCTCTGCGAGAGTAACCAGAGTTGGCATGATGGTTTATGCTCCTTGACGAGAAAATATAACACAATCACGTGCACATTGGAACCTAAACTCCACCTGACACATTTACAAATTCCTGCACAGCCGGTGACCTTTCCCACAGGAATGATTGTGTCACGAGTCGCCTTCTCTATTTGCATTCAGTCGTTAAGGCACTTCCTCTATTAACATCCCATTCAGAGCCATGAGCAGGCTGCTGTGGTAGTTTGTGTGATTCACTTAATCGTGCTGTTGTGCTCAGAACACACGTGGTACACACACAGTGTGCGCGCACAGGGGCGAAACGGTGAACTTTGTTCCCTCAGTCTCTCTGTCGTTGAGTGCGGAGTTCACCAATTGAAGGGTAAAACCGTGCACAGGTGACAAAGGGGACATCTTGGAGGACGTGGGTGTGATACTGCATGTCTGCATTACTAACCTTTCCACACACGTGATTCACACACACTTGTAACGCATTGAGTTAAGATCTTGATAATCTGGTTCAATTTCTGGTTATCCTACAATATTAGTGGTCTAGTGGTATGTGAACCTATTTTAGGTTTTATTTGATCAAGTCAGCCTATAATTGGTGTGTTATCCCTTGCAGTGTGCAAACATTGTCACTAAAAAAAGCGACTGGGCATGGTTCTGGCCACACCACCACCCCAGTTTGTCCGCTGTTCTAGTCTATAAGACTAAATGTCGATCTTCGTCTTTTGAGTGTGTAGTATATATGCAATTTATTTGCCTATTTTTATTGATGTTTATCTCAAGTGCTTAATTACGTGATAGAAATTTAAATATGGAAAAGCCTCACTGAGTCCCAAGTCAGGATGTTTTACAAATTACTTATTGAACAATTCTGCTTGAATAAAATCCCCACACAAACAAGGAAGAACACTTAAACTCCACGTTCTCCCAACATTTCCCTACTTCGCAGGCTGCCCCCTGCCCTCTCCTTCAATGCCCCCAGCCCTACGCGAGCCAGCAGGCACTGTTCCGTGCACCCTCCCCTTTCCCAGCCCTCTGGTCGCCGTGCCCCCCATACCCTCTAACCCATGACACCCGGTCCTGGCCCAGGCCTGGCTCTGGAGGATGACGACCTCGCGTTGCTGGTGCGGGGCTCGCCGGTGCTCAAGGCAAGCTCCACGGGCCGGCGGGGCCGCCGCGTCATGTCCTTGCGAGACGACTGCTCGGCCGTGCGGTGCAGCTCCCGCAAGCTCAGCAAACTGCGCAAGCGCCGCACCATCTGTGAGTCGAGATCGCCCCACCCCAGCCTGGGTACAAAGCCACCCATGGATGAAGATCCAGCTGGGGTGAACACACATTCCGGATACTTGCCCAGCCTGGATTAATAGCTACAGTGCTGATTTTGTACGTTTGCCCACTGACAAATAAATGATCAGTCTATAATTTTAATGGTAGGTTTATTTGAACAGTGAGAGACAGAATAACAACAACAAAATCCAGAAAAACGAATGTCAAAAATGTTATAAATTGATTTGCATTTTAATGAGGGAAATAAGTATTTGACCCCCTCTCAATCAGAAAGATTTCTGGCTCCTAGGTGTCTTTTATACAGGTAATGAGCTGAGATTAGGAGCACACTCTTAAAGGGAGTGCTCCTAATCTCAGCTTGTTACCTGTATAAAAGACACCTGTCCACAGAAGCAATCAACCAATCAGATTCCGTACAAAATCAGCAGGGGATCAAATATTTTTTTCCCTCACTGTATATTCATGGGCCTTCAGTCTCTGTGAACCCCAAGAGAATAATGAATAATGGTGTTTATAGGGGAGCCCTGCAAAACCTGTCTCAGACAATGCTTTTTGACGTAGGGCCGAGGTGGATTGTCCTACTCTGTGTTGATGCAGACATACACTCGAGTAGCCCTTCATTTCTCACTAAATGTATTCCAGGTCATTGATAAACTGGAGTGACTCAAGCCTCTCATCCCTACCGAGTGCTTACATCAGTGCCGCTCTCGCTGCTGGTCCCTCCCTCCCTTCACTCCCTCCCCTGTCTGCGCATCTCACAGTTTCCATCAGCGACCTGGTCGAGGTGCGCGAGGGCTGCCAGACGGAGACGCTGCGCGCCCTGCCGTTCGGTTCCGGGGGGGCTCCGGAGACCGGCGGTGGCAACAGAAACGGCAACAACAGCGGTGGCGACGGCGCCGGGAGCGGCGGCGACGGCGGGCGGCAGCCAGCGGCGGTGCCCGGGCACGTGGACCCTCAGCGCTGCTTCACGCTCGTGTTCCGTGGGCGGCAGGCCAACCTGGACCTGGTGGCGGACAACGCGGAGGATGCCCGTCGCTGGGTGTACTGCCTGCGCAGCCTCTCGGAGCACTCGCGCACAATGGACGCCCGGCAAAAGCTCGACACATATCCTGGCGCACGTTCCGATGCCGGTGCTAGCCTCACCGCGACCGGGCACCAAGGGGGGCCCGTGGGTAATAGTTGATTGAGTTGAGAGCTTGGTTATTGTAATATTTAATTATAAGAATGTAATAACGCTTTAATACTTATCACGAGATTATTTTTTGAGGAGGGTCCTGTATTAGAATATTTGGCCAAATTGTTTAGAAATCTATATTTTGTGGATTTTTTTCTATTTTGTGTGTGTGTGCCAGCTAACCAGCTTTGGTACAGGGTGGATATAAGATTTAGTGCCGAGTGTAACTTGCTGAGATATCTGCCTGGCTTCTGGATGGTTATTTTTTTACCTGTGCATGAGTGTTTTTTTCCCCTGAGTACTCCCAATTTTCTGGAAATAACATCCCAAACAGCAGGATTCCCCCGACAAAGTATTGAGACTCGGTGAGGCTTTCCTGCAACCCTTACCTCTTAAGCAACGAATGCCTGGTCTTCACTGTGGTGAAGTCAGCGACGGGAGAATATCGTAATGCTCGTATTCAGTGAGCTCTGCCTGCCATGCCTTCCCCTCCATCCCATGTCTCCTGCTGTCGTCCTCCTTAACCTGCCATTCACGTGGCTCTACCGTAGCTTCAGGAAGGCCGACAAGAACAAGGATAACCGGATGACGTTTGACGAGGTGAAAGACCTCCTCAACACGCTCAATGTCAGCATGAACGAGGTGGAGGCCAAGAAGCTGTTTGACGTAAGTGGCGTCTTGCTCGCAATCCCTTCAAAATGGGGTCACCTCGGTTTATGCTGAGTTGACCTAGTGGATGTTCTGTCCAGGGTAGGATTTGTCGGTTATGTGCTTTATGGGCAAGAGTGGAACACAGGTTGCCGTAATCGTAGTGTAGAGACCTCACAAAGCTCTATGACGATCCTTAGGGCTTTATATACTGTAATGTAAATGTATCGTACAGCCCTTTATAAACCCACTGTTGGATGCTCTCCTCCCCAAGCCATACCGGTCATGGTTCTTATTTAACCATACTTCACTACGCTGGTGAGTACTGGCTGGTGAAGACCCGGATTGGAGAGTTTGTTGGGTTCATAGTGTAGAGCGATAATAAATGCACTACCGCTTTGTACAATGAATTTGTACAATACATAATAATTTGGATTCATATAGCATACAAATATAACTATGTTCCACAGTGCTGTAGATTCAGAGAGCAACTAAACACAACTGCATCACAAGGCCCTTCGTGATGAAAGAGCGGCGTTACATTGGGATAGAAATGTAAGGAATAACGAAGGGAGGGAGGGTTGTATACGGAGGGAAATTACTCAACAGGGAAGGTTCCTGTCGCAGTGCAATAACTACTACTTGGAAGCATTGGTGTAGTGGTTGGCGCACTGTGATATGAATTCTGCGACCTGAGTTCAAGTTCAATTCTGGTCACGGCTAATATCAGTGTCAAGTAATATCCGAAACGGTCCTGGGTTGCCCCAAGGTCAACTAAGCCTTAAATTAGTACTTTTGTACATATCAGCACTGGGGAGACAATGGCATGCAGGCATGGTGCTGGCCAGCACCCCTAGTGCACATTTCAGGTCTTCATAGGTGCTCACTAACAGTATGCTCCCGAACAGTCTGTTACAAGCTATACAGGGAGCTTTCTCTTTGCTCACATGTACACATGCTCGCACATGTGCTTTGGACGATCGGACGTGTTCACATGTCCACATTTTTCTGACGCTCACACAAACACGCAGTCTCATTTGTTCACACGTACACGTATTTTACGTGCGCTAACACATTCACTCACGCGCACACACATACACGCTCATACATGCACACCCACACTCGCTGTCTCACACACATGCTCATACATACATGCGGTCACATATTTGCTTACAGACATACACAAAGGCAAGGCAAAGAAAGATCCTCATGTCGCGTTTTAATGGACTTTTAGAGCAAGGGGGTGGGTGGCGAGCACCATGCTCAACCACCTTTGTCTCCCCAGTACTGATGTTTGCACACCACAACAGGTATTCATGTAGGGCTTAGTCGACCTAGAGGAGGCACACTACCAGTTCAGTTACTCGTCACTGTCTTTGGACATGAGCTGCAATCGAACTCGGATCGCCGGGTTCGTAGCACAGCGCACTAACCTCTACACTACGACTCTCCGTGCACACAAGCTCATACGCTGCCTCGTGTGCTTATACGCTGCCTCGTATGTGTGCGTGCTTCACAGGAGAGTGACAGCTCGCACACGGGCGACCTGGTGGAGGACGAGTTCGTGCAGCTGTTCCGGAAGCTGACACGGCGCGACGACGTGGCGACGCTGTTCAAGCGCCTCTCCCCGGACGGGATAGGCCTGCCCGCCGCTCGGCTCGCCCAGTTCCTGCAGGACGAACAGCACGAGGATGACAGCGAGCACCGCGCCGCATGCATCATTGCCGAGCACGAACCGTTGGATGAGGGTACGTGTCTCGGACAGACAGCTCAGCTCGCCGATTGCACGAGGGACGGATATTGTTTTTTCATGTATGGAAACGCACAAAGCAAACGGGTCTCATGTTGAAGCTACGTACCTAAGCTGTGCTTTCTGTGTCTGTCCATCACAAGTTTGAAGTTTCAATAATGAGAAACGAGGAAGAAAAATCACGCATATAAATGGACCCTGCAATGCTTTCCGCATTAGTTTAACCTCGCAAGTATTTCATTCGTTACAATGACGTCACATTTGGAACCACGCGATGAGATGATATCATGTGATGCACTGTGCGTGACGTCGTGAGATTATGTCACACGTAATTACCCCATTGCCTTGGTCGCCTTGCAGGATAATTCATTTCGTGCTGGTTTTTAATATCCAAACTTTGGACAACCCTTTGATCAATTTTATTGGTTTTCTTCGGGGTAAGTATGATAGCAACACGACCTTACGATAAACCGTTGTTCTAAATGAATAAGCCTTTGGAAGATGGAGAGTATGGAGGCGCACTGGCAAAACGCTGGAGGTGCGAGGCACAGTAAGGGCTACCAGACGGATGCAAACAAGAGAGATGTACTCAGATAAGAGAACAAAGTTGCAGACAAGAAACAGATATGAAGTGAGATGAGAGAAAAAGAGATAGACTATTAGTTTTAGTCCATCAACGTGGTGGCTTTCTGCAGTAATGTTATCCAGCGGTATTGTTTAGCAGCAAACTCTGCAACTCTTGGGTCTCATGAGCAGAGTCAGTCTTGTTTGAAAAATACTGCAGCGTTGCAAGATGTTACTGGCAAGAGCTCTCCACCTTCACAATGGGACCCTATGATTGCAAAAGGCATTAATAAATCACTCATCATACACTTATTCATAGAGAGGTGGATCAGTTAGGCGGTTGTTCAACCACTGTGCTATGAACTCGGTGACCTGAGTTTGATTCTCGGATACAGCTAAGATTGGTGACAAGTGCAGTGACCAGTGTGGTGAAGGAATTGTATGTACATATGTATGTTGAACTTCTTTCGCATGGTACATAGCCAACCTTGCTAATCAGAGATGTGGGGGAAGGACAACAAACTAAACACAAAAAACTGTTCCAAAGAAATTACGGTAGTTTATGAATTGGATTGATTGATGGCTGTAAATTATATATTTTTATAGAGAAGGCGTATTATTTTAGTTTAATCTCGCTTTCAGATGTAGTCGCATTTCAGTGCTAAATAAGTACAAATCCTTAATTGTTAAAAGCAGCCCTATTTCATCCGTCGCTGGATGCAGAGCCGGCAATCGATGCATCCTTACATTTCACCAACCCCTCATGGATTGCTGAATCACCCCCCCAATGGGGATTTGAACTCCGGAAGCTTCCGATTGCGAGTTGAGTACTCGATCCACAGCGCCACCAACTGCGGCAGAGGGCTGGAATGAAATGGTTTGCATTCATTTGTGGCACGCGGGCCCAGGCCGCAGTAAGGGACTGATGACGCTGGATGGTTTCGTGCGCTACCTGACTTCCCCGGACGGCTCCCTGTGGGACCAGCGCCACGACTCTGTCAGCCACGACATGACGCAGCCGCTCAGCCACTACTTCATCTCCTCGTCGCACAACACCTACCTCACGGACGATCAGCTCCGCGGGCCCAGCAGCACTGAGGCCTACGTGAAGTACGCGCTCAATATGCAGCCCACACCAACCCCCCCCCCCCCACGCACCATCGCCAAGTTCTCGTCTAGGTTTTTTTTTATTGTCTGGAGTTTTTAGTTTAAAATGCCCTGGCATGCTCTGCATTAAGAGTGCGCTGTAAGAGCAAAATTGCTATCGCGTTGGTTTGCCCCAGAAGGTCATATTTACAGATATAGTTCTGAACTGCTTCCAATTGGCCCTTTTTGTCATATCAAAAGGTATTAGTTTTCACAGGTGGAATATGCTCAATTTGGTGAAAATTGTTTTAATGTGTTTTTATTGTGCAGTCATAGGTGACTGGGTTGCAGGCATTATATCAGCATATTCGTGAGGCCAGTTTAATTATGGGTTGCTCAAACCTGTATTTGAAGCCAAGTTCTCAGCAATACAAGCGCAGTATCTCACTATGATTAATCCACTGCTGGATTAAAGCCTCTTTAAAGTCACCCGCCATGTTTTCTAGTCACGCGATGTTATTATTGCTAGTGCTACTTTCCTATTGTTGTGTTCTCGTTGCAGGTCGCTGATGCGGGGCTGCCGTTGCGTGGAGCTCGACTGCTGGGACGGGGCGGATGGGGAACCGGTCATCTACCACGGCTACACGCTCACCTCGCAGATTTTATTCCGAGACGTCATCACCAGCATCGCCCACGAGGCCTTCAAGGTGATGTGCCGGTCAAGCGATCGGGAGGATGGGCGGGTGGGCGGGCAGGTGGACGGGTGGGTGGGCAGGTGGGCTGGCAGGTGAGTGCGTAGGTCAACTGGTCCTACCGCACTGTGGTCACCCACTTGGACGCAGTTGGTCACAGGGGTATTCAGCTATTTGCAGGAGACACGTGTAATGCAGGCAATTACAGGTGACGCACACACGTGGCACAATTGAGCACAGGGGACACGCATGACACACAGATGAACATTGGTATTCACAGGTGACACACGTGTATAAAACACACACGACACATAGGTATTTATTGGTGATACACGTGTGACAATAATATAGAGGTGACACACATGTGATGCATGTGAACACAGTTAATTACATAGTGAATTTCAAGTGACACACATGTGAACACACACGTGTACACATGATCACAGGTAACAGCAGGTGACTATGTGACCACAGGTTCCATCATATTACTGAAGGTGACAAGCGGGTACAAATGTTTTAATCAAAAAATTATTTTCAAAGGCATACTCAAAATCGTCTCCCAAAACATGATCTCCTAGTTTCTCAGATTCGAGATTAAGCCCCCGAGGGTTGATGGAGGGCGTCATCACGCCCAGTGTCTCACTGCGGACGTGCGTGTGTGTCCTCGGTGTGCAGGCGTCGGCGTACCCAGTCATCCTGTCCTTGGAGAACCACTGCAACGTGGAGCAGCAGATAGTGATGGCGAGGCACCTGCGCTCCATCCTGGGCGAGCGGCTCATTACGGCACCGCTGCCCGGGCGGCCCCCCACTCAGCTGCCCTCACCAGAGGTAGTGCAGAGAACCTCTGTCTTGGAGAAGTTATTCGCAAGCCATCTGGCTACCATGAGAGATTCGTTCATGAGGCTATCCACATATACAAACACAGAGACAATTTCAACCGAAAAGATGGATTCTGGCTTAGAAATCATTAGAAGGATTTGATAAACCATTTTGGGTCTTAATTGATTGTTCACGCTTACGGTGGCTTTCAGACGACATCCATTATTTTCGTCTCCCCCCTCCTCTTTTCCGAACATAGATGGACTCGTCCATCTGAATAACTGCCAAATCGCTCTCCGTGGTGCTAACGTTAAAAAAAAACGCCGCTTTTTTCAAATTTTCTTGCTGTGGTTTTCAGACCTGATGATGATTGCTTGAGTTACAGTCGAAACGGCGTGAGACTTTTATTGTTTTATATTTTTATTATTTTATTGTTTCCCTTCTACGTGGTGACTTTACCGAAAGAACCAAGAATATGAATCCCTGCAGTCACGAAAGCTTTAAATCAAAATTGTAACTATTTAGTGTTGGATTTTTTTGTGCAGTCATTGGTCATTTGTCTGAGACCACCAACTCACTACCCCCTCACTGTGTTTGGTGTCTCAAGCCTGTGGCTCTTTGATGATCTTTGGAGTGTTTGACACGGCGCATTCATTCCTCTTATGGTTTTATTTCTAAACACAAAATCATTACGAGACTTTCTGTCAATACGAACATTTCCAGATATTTCATTATCGCCATTATCTATAGAGTGTCTTTTCTGAAACAAGTGTTGACCAGTCTCTCAAAAATGCTCATTGTTGACTTCCAATAAATTGGGAATAGATGTGACCCCTGACCGTGATTTGAACCTGCAGCTTTCTGATTGCGAGTCAGCCACTTAAAAGCTACGTTGCTGGTGGGAGCAGTACTGTTGTGATGCAGACTTTTATCACGCAGATGTGTGCCGTGCCGGCTTTAATAGGTGCTCGCAAACAGCACTTGTTATACGTCTATCCAGGCTGCACAGGGGAGCCTAAGCACATTGCTCTGAGCTTCCTCCTCCCTCTCTGTCTGCAGGAGCTGAAGGGGAAGTTTCTCATCAAGGCCAAAAAGCGGAGCGAGCCTGTGAAGAGCGAGGCTGAAGGCAACGGCAGTGGCGTGCAGAGCGACTCGACCGGCGCCACGACTGCTCCGAGCGAGCTCACGGGCAGGGACAGCACTGCGGACAAACTGTGCACGGGCATCGAAGACGCCCGGTCTGAGCCAAAGCCAGAGCCACAGCACACCAACAATCAGCCTGAGACACAGGCTGGAGCCCATTCAGAACCTCAACCGGAACTCAAATCTGAAACACGGCTGGAAAGCCAACCACAGCCAGAAATCCGGCCTGAAACACATCTCCAGACAGAGGCAAACCCAAGCAGCATGTGTGCCAAAGATGAGAGCGGGCCGAGCGATGCTGCGGTGCTCAACGAAGAGGAAGGGGACATCCCGTTCATCGATGGAGACAATGAGGTCACGGATGGAATTGTAGATGGGGTCACCGGTGGGGTAACGGACAGGGTCACAAATGAGGTTAAGGATAGGGTTGCAACTGAGGTCGCGGTTGAGGTCGTGGATGAGGTCACGGATGGGGTCAAAGGGAAGCAGTCAGAGACGAAGGGCATTGGACTCAGGAGGAGTCTCTTGATGAAGGTTGACAGCTTCACAAGGCATTCATCGGGGTCTGGCAGTATCAAATCCTCGGCCAAAGGTCTGGGGCAGGCGTCGGACACCGAGAGCGATGTGTTTGAAGACAGCAAGCCGTCGACGGGAAAGCACAAGCCCTTAAAGGCGGAAAAGTCAAAAAAGAAGGTACTGCTGTTCTAGCTTGTTAATTATACAATTAAGAATAGCAATGCTGGGCTGTAATAACGCAGGGTGGTCTAAAATCTAGTTCTCTGAGATAAATACTATCTCATGTAACAAACTTTTGTTTTGTTTTTCATTTTAAAAGGAAGTTTCCAAAGAGCTATCGGACTGCGTCATATACTGCAGTGGCGTGCACTTCGAGGGCCTCGAGAGGGCGGAGAGTCATCAGAAGGGGAACGAGATGTGTTCCTTCTCCGAGACCAAGACTATGGGGCTCATCGAGACACAGGGTGAGTCCCATGCGGCTGAGATCACAACCTGGGTAACAGATGAGGTCAGAGGGAAAGGTGATTGGCAAGAACACGGGCTGAGGACACAGGCTGAGGTTACAAACTTGGTTGTAGACAACCAAAGGCCTCGTCTTCTTTTTCAACACTGTATCATTAAAAGTGCAGTATATAACGAGCGCTTGGGTTGTGTGTTCGTGGCCAGATGGAGGTGACTGACGAAACCTGGTCATGACATCTTTGTAGAGGCGTGAGCTCACTCCGCGGAGGAAGTTAGAGATGAAACGATTCACCTGCTCCATGATTCCATGAATTGTCAGGTGTTCACTTCACACGGTGCATGCAGAACCCGTAGCGGTATAAGTTATCTAAACATTTAAACATGTACATGTCGGACAATTTGTCCTGCAACGTTAGCATCACGGGGGCGTAATGATTTACCCCATCACTTCCCACATAAATTGTCACGTGTAATCGAGTCCGTATTTGTGTATAACTTCACTGCACATGTATGTATCATGTAATTTGTCCTGTATTGTGAGCATAACAGTTTATAATGTCACCCCACCTCGCATATCCTGGCAATTTGATGAATCGATTCAAAAATCAATTATTGTTTAACCATGGGGTGAATGTAGAAATAGGGTGAATGTAGTGGGTGCATGGGTCAAGTGAACCCATTACATAGAACATATAAAAATAGAAAAACATAATTACACATGTGATTTTATGTTTGATATGCGTGTCCCGTGAGCTTAAGATTATATATTAATTGTTGAATTGATGCATCGTTTACGCACTTGGCACGAGAACAAATGTAGCTCATTGCCCTAACCACTGTGCCTGTGTTTCCCCCCAAATGAATAATCGTGCCCTTTGTTTATCTAGGAAGGAGATTTTTGATTTTGTGTCTGGTTTCCGAGGTTAATTGCGTGCGTTGTTTTTTTTTGTCTCGGCAGGTAACGCGTTTGTGCGGTACAACATGCAGCACCTCAGCCGCACCTACCCCAGCGGGACTCGCGTTGGCTCCGGGAACTACAACCCCCACGACATGTGGAACGCCGGCTGTCAGATTGGTAACCAGCACGCCGCACGTGATCAATGTTAACGTGAAACATTATTATTGAAACAAATATTGTGTATGTCTGATTCATCATTCATTCACGTTTAACCGTTAAGTCCAGTTTCTCCCCCTCCAGCTGCAGAGCCACACGTCGTAATGTAAAAAAATACCCCGACATCATATTGGAAACCTTCACCCGACATCCATCAAAGGTCCAACTTTCAGAACGACTGAACATTCAGTGTTGGTTAACTACTGTGACAGTGTTGCTTATCATCCACCACCCATGCTATGAATTGCGCGAAGGTGTTTTTTATTTATTTTCACTAACCACACGCCGCCTTTAACTCAATGGCTGTGTTTGTTGTTCCCTCCTGTGCATGTGTCCCTGGCTGCAGTGGCACTGAACTTCCAGACCCCGGGCAAGGAGATGGACCTGTACGACGGCCTCTTCCGGCAGAACGGCGGCTGCGGCTATGTGCTCAAGCCGTCCTTCCTGCGCGATCCACACACCGACTTCGATCCCGGGAACCCGGCACGGGGCACGGGCCGCCACCCGGTCAAACTCGCCATCACCGTGCGTTTCCTTCCCGCGCCTCCGCACCACGTGCCAAATCCCTCCAAGGCCTTGATACGCCAGGGCAGTGTTCTTGGAATGATGGCCCACGGGCAACATTTGACCCTTAATTCTTCTTTGAGCGGTCCACCGAGCTGTGGTCCAGAATAGTGTGATGAAATAGAGATAAACTAGAAATGGAGATGAGAGCGCTGTAGGCAAGAGATAAATATAATAGTGAGATTATGGCGAAGTAAACAAGAGAGACACGAGAGACGACCGGCCTCTTTTGCTCCTCTTATTAATTGTGACCACGCCGGCCTACGTGTGCAGGTGATTAGTGGGCAGCAACTGCCCAAGGAGAGGAACAGCCGCCGAGGCTCCATCATCGACCCCTTAGTGAGCGTGGAGGTCCACGGGGTGCGAGGCGATACAGCGGTGCGGGAAACGCACCACCAGGAAAACAACGGTACGTAACACCCCACAACCACCATTCTACCCTGCTTCATCTGCACCTGGGACCTATAGTAATGATGATGAACTATGTAAAAAAAAAATATTTTGGATTTTACAAAATGATTAACTCTCTCTCTCCATTTAAATTTTGATTTAAAGCTTTCGTGACTGCAGGGATTCATATTCTTGGTTCTTTCGGTAAAGTCACATAGAAGGAAAACAATAAAATAATATAAAAAAATATAAAACAATAAAATTATCACGACGTTTCGACTGCAACACAAGCAATCATCATCAGGTGTGAAAACCACAAGAACATTTTAAAAAGTTTGTGTTGCAGTCGAAACGTCGTGAGAATTTCATTGTTTTATATATATTTTTTATTATATTGTTTCCCTTCTACGTGACTTTACCGAAAGAACCAAGAATATATCTCTCCCCATTTATCTATTTTTATGGAGGAAGAAATAGATATCGTTTTGTAATTGAAGAAAAATATTGATTCTGTGGGGGACAAATGGTGTGGACAACAGCCCTGAAGTTCCCAATGCGTTCTCTGGCCAGTGTGGTTAAGTTTGATCAAACAATCTCCATGGCTGGTACACAATACAATTATTTTCATTTATTGATGCTATTAATAACGTGTGGTTGTGATTTGATCCAGCTTCATCTTGTATGTATTTTGTCATTGAAAGGCTAAATAAAAATAAAACTGATTTATTTTCCCATTGAGAATGAATTAAACTTGAGAATGGTGATGAAGACAAAAACGATTAAGATCGTGATCTTTATTTTCTTGATCATGATTGGCATTGGTGATGTTGAAGAACATAATATTGAACATGATGATGATGATGGGGGGGGGGGGGTGACTTGTTATCCACCCAGGCCTGAACCCCGTGTGGAAGGAGGAGTTCTTATTCCAGCTGACTGTGCCCGAACTCGCCCTCATCCGCTTTGTCGTCAAAGACTACGACGTGACCTCACGGAACGACTTTATCGGACAATTCAGCCTACCCTTCTCCTGCCTCAGACAGGGTACGCAAAGCAAGGATACGGTAGCTCAGAGCCACTCGTGTGTAAAGCGAGAGACGGGGTGACCGGGTTGCCTGGGGGGCTCACACTGTGTCAGAGACACTGGGTTTAAGCCGTCTCTGATTTAAACTGGGTTCTCAAATGTAGCGAATTGATAGTCTTAGCTTGGTCACCAGTGACTTGTGCAAAGAGACAATTATGTCAAATTAGGATTGCCACTAAGAGCATTATAAACTATCTCTGATTCGCATAGTTGGCTATGTACGGTGCAAAAGAAGTTCAATATACATACATATATGAAACAAACAGTTGGATTGGCATGCAACGAACACTCTTCGAGGAGCACTTACTGTAAAAATATGTGGCCCTATTGCTGCTGGCGAGCATATTGGAGGGTTAAGTAGTTCCGTGACGTGTATATCTATGGTGAGGAAAAAATGAAATAAAGCAAAAAAAAGCCTCAGGTTGAGGTTATTCAGCGATGAAGCTCGGTTTATATTTATATAAATAAACTGGAAAGTTGTCTTTTTATGGCTGACATAAAATCACTTTTATTCAACTTAACGATTTTCTTCATGGATCAAATGTTTTCCTTCAGCATTTCTTTAAATGGGGAAAACATTGGACCGGTTGAGTCTCATCAGCAGGATACACTATTTACCCACGTCGTTTCTCATGATCCCCCCCTCTCCTACACAAGCTGTCCCCTCGCTGCGTAATCCTATGTGCCTGCTGTTAATCCCATTAAAGCGTCTCTCCCTGTTCTGTGTTGCAGGCTATCGCCACGTCCACCTCCTGTCCCTGGACGGCCGGAGCCTCTTCCCTGCGACTCTGTTCGTCCACATCCGCATCACAGAGCTGAAAGAGATCGAGGGCCTAGATCGAGGATTGTAGATTGTGGGATGTAGATTAAGGGGCATAGATTGAGGGGTGTAAGTCACGGGTAGTAGTTCTGAGAGGAGTAGATAACATGATGTAGATCAAGTGGTGTAATTGATAGTGATCGGCGGATTTTGATCAATGGAGGCGATAGAGCGGCATAGACCAAAGGACGTGGATCAAGGGATGTTAGCTGAATCCCTGTATATGCAATTTTGTGTGTGGACAGGGCACACCCCCTGTGTAAGTTCTCATGAGCAAACTGTTTTTATGGAGCCATGTAAGTCACCTTTTTGGAGTCAGGTACACTGTGTGCAGTCTTTGACATTTTAAACGTTTTTATCGTAAATGTTTAGCTGTTTTAATATAGCACAATGTTATCCCAGCAGATTACATAGTTCTGTTTTTTCTGCAATAATTGTGCATTGTAAATAGTTTGAAAGTAAAAGAAAAAAAACTTGGAATCGTTTGATATGTTTTCATGTAATACAATTGTTGAAGGTGAGCTGCCAAACAGCAATAGCTTTTAATTCAACCAATGTTTACAATTGCAATACAAAATTACACTAATATACAGCCATGAGTACTTCGCTACAAAATTACACTCGTATGAAGCCATTCTCATTTCATTTATTGCTGCTTGTTGCAGAGGCTCAAGGTTCTAATCCAGCAGCCGCCCTTGTTATTGTTGCAAGAGTAGGCCATTGTGTGCCGACGTCCGGGTCCAAATTTGCCAAATTCGGAAATTACATGACAAATTAGTCAATTGGGATTATAAACAAAGCAGCAATCATCGTGCTCCACTGGCAGACTACATTCACACCATGGAAATGAGAACTGGTTAAACAAAGAAACAATGTTACCGTGGGTTATAGTATATATTATAAGACTTAAAGCTATACAATCATATGTGGGTTTTTTTAAGTGTAGAAGAGTGGTAAGTGTGGCAGAGTTTTAATAAATAGCAGTAGAGACAGGTTACCTCTTTGGAGTCGATTTCAGCAGATGCTAATCGGCAACCTCAATTTCAAATAAGTTTAAATGTATGCCAGTAAGGCAATTGTTATTAATTGAAACCGTTGTTTAGCAGAAAGGTGGATTGCAGCCTAATGTATCAATTGAAAGGAAATATTGACAAGCACTATCTTGTGACATTTATGTTTTGACTGCTGTATTGTCTTGAGTCGCTCGTTACTTTTAAACTACACACCAAAGCAATCCAGACGATTTTGTAAGACATACCGCAAAAAGTTATGTTGACACTATCATAGAAGATTTTGCCAAAGTTACTTGCATAGTGATTTTAATCACTGTTGCAACAATGACATTAAAGTTAAAATCAGGTGGTTCTTACATAACTACGTTTGAATTACTGATACCATCCTATATCGTTAAGCATGCCATGGTGCATAAATTTGATTCTTACGCCCGCGACGATGTCATAAGAATAATTGTCTACATTGTATACAAACTAAACTCAAACGATATGTTAATTTTACATTTCACTGTAATTGCAATGTTCTACTTTTGTGTATTTTCTGTACCATTTAATCTTGATATTTTTTATTATCGGAATGTAATATTACTATGGTACTTGGAATGACAACTCAAACTAAGGGGCGTGTGGTGTGGAGGAGAAACAGGGGTGAATTGCTGCATCATTACCTGCCTGCAGCTCATGGTATGTTGTTGTGATGGAAACTGAGAGATGTCTCAACATAATTCTCATGGGATTGGCTTTGTAATTTCTCGAAAAGCATTGGAACCATACGTAGTTTCACCTCTGTACTCTTAGAAAGACGTGCTATCACAATTTTCACACTGGTCCGTATATTAATACAGATATTTACAAGGGATTTTTTTTTTATATATATGTAAAACTTTTGTCACTTTTTATATGCTGTGGTGCATTTTATAAATACTGAATTGTTGCAATACAGCAGATAACATTGTTTATGCCACACTGCTTTGTATGAACAAACTCAACTTTTAATAACTGTTAACCCTATAATCTGCAATACAGTACAGCACAATATTGAAGATGAGCGTCTTGTCTCAATGGGCCTTACCCCAAAGAAACTTGCTGAATATCAATTATTGTTTACATTGCCGAATTTACATTATGTCTGTAGTCATCTCTGATAGAGGCCCTAAAATATAATTGCGTGGCTGAATTGGTACTGTTATAAAACACTTTTAAATGCTCATGGCTGTTTTTGATAAACATTCAAAGCTTTATACACTCCTACAAAATAAACACTTGCAGGAATTTTGTTGTTGATTATTGAAACAGTTTAAGGACCATTTTTTATTTATAATTCACTGGGTTACACGATATGCTTTAATGGGTTTCTAAAAAATGTACAACATTGATATCAATGGTAAGAAATTGTGAATTTGATAGATTTTTGCATTTTACACTTTTGAACTGACATGTAATAGTGATACGTATGTTTCTGCACTACTTTTGAAAGTATATTGTTTTCTACTTAATGTTGCGGACGTTTCTGTCACGGCTTTCTTTTTAAGCTGTTTACCACGTTGCTTTTAAAGCTTTTCCTTTTTAATATTACACTACAGCAATAAATATCACTGTAATTGCAATGTTCTACTTTTGTGTATTTTCTGTACCATTTAATCTTGATATTTTTTTATTATCAGAATGTAATATTACTATGGTACTTCCATTGTAGCAGTTTCTGCTTTTCAAAAATGCAATGATTGGGAAATATGGTTGGTTGCATTAAATATTTTTTTTTCCCTCGTTGACTTGTGCCATAGGAATGGGTAATTTCCACCACTGGCTCAGGACTGTCAACAGGAGATGTACAACTACTCCACGTTCATTTGAGCACGAAGCCACTTTCGATTTTGAGATAGAGATGCAAGGGTAATAAAAGTATTTATAAAGTATTACATTAAGGTAGATTATGTGACTCGGCGCAAGTTGCCAACTTTGTTTGAACTACCTCGAGTGATGATACTCTGCACAACATTTCAATGGTTTCCTCAGGCACTGTGTGTTAATTTTTAAATAAACCAAGAGAAAACTCGGTTGAGTGGTTTTCAGAAAGCAAAAACACACACAAGGTGGTACACAACAACATGAATAAGAGTTTCCATGGTAGGACGGGGGAAAGTGTTGTATCTGAGGGAAAACCACTTGCATACACCTGCAAAATCTGTACCAAAACAAATGTAAATTTTGTGGAAAAGTTGGCTGATCCAACAAAATCTCATCACATACACGGGTTTAATTGTAACAACCAGCCAGTTTAGCATTTAGAAGAATAATATAAATGAAAATATCTCCCAAAGTAAACTTCAATTTTTTTCATCACCCACTCTAAACATTTTTGAACCGTAGCATTTCTAACACAGTTATATAAACCCCTTTAAACCTTTAGAGGTAAGCCCTCCTATCTGGCAGGGCCCTGTAACACCAACACGCCCTCAAATCCCCCAGGACCGCCCGGTGGTTGCGCGCCTTCTGATTGGCTGGCGTTTGCGTGGTTGGGGGCGGCGACGGGAAAAAACAACGCGCGCGATTGGTCGAAGCGTCCTGCGTGCCCGCCTCGCGACCAATGGCGAGAGGGCGTCGTGCGTGCGAGCTATGGAATTATAATCGCTCGATCCGGGCCGTACAGAACGGGATGATGATGATGAGGTGCTTGGTGGTGGATGTGGATGAGGTTGGTTGAGACGCGTTGCTTTCCATTATCGAGCGCGCTTTTGTTTTAGTTCGTTCAATTGTCCGCGACCCTGTCGTCTGCAGGCTAAGCTCGACGCCTCAACAGACACGAGGGCTGAGTTGCGTATGAGTCGCGCGTCGGGCGAATGTGCGGTGATAAAAAGTGCGCCAGTTACGGAGAGGCTGGAGGAGAGACCACGTCCATCGCCACCACCGTCTTCTTCTTCATCATCTTCATCTTCACCGTCGGGAGTCTTTCACCTCGTCTTGTTTGTTGTGTGCGAGCGTGGACGGTGCAACAATAGTAATGTATCTGCGTGTTCTTGTTGCAAACATTTTACGGGGCCAATTTCGCAGCGAATTGACATTTGACCTTAGACCTCCACTTGTCAGTGAGGCTTGCAGCATTTGTCAATTGTGTTTTAGATTAATTTGCGAGATCCAGTCATTCTTGGCTTCCTTTCTTTCTGTTGGTTCCCCGCCTTAGACATGTGTAGACATGTGTACGAACATAGATGGACTCATATTTTCTTGCTGTGGGTTTCACACCTGATGATGATTGCTTGCGTTGGAGTCGAAACGTCGCGAGAATTTAATTGTTTTATATTTTTATTATTTTATTGTTTCCCCTTCTACGTGACTTTGCCGAAAGAACCAAGAATGTGTGTACGGTAATTTGCACTGATTTCTGTAAACTTGGAATGCAGTACTCTGCTGCCTTTTTGGCGTATTTGTCAAAGTAACTGCGTTTCTCGAGACTCTTGAAAGAGTACGCATTGTTGCTAGAGGTTATGTACCATGTGAAATAGATGCCTTTAATACACACTTGTTGCTATTATTGTGCAGGGCAACTGTATTGTGTCTTTTGCGCGGTAACAGGAGATGATGCTAAATTGGGATCGTATCGGCACACCAGCAGCTATAAACAGTGTCCCACAACTGCCGAAGGTAACTAAGCTGTAACCCAGTTTTTATATTAGCTTCACTTTCTAAAAAAAAAAAACCCCGCAAATGGTGGGTAGGTTTTTTTGTTGTTCTAGCAGCAACCGTGAAAATACTAAATCTCTTTGACTCGAGTTTGTTTACCTGCCCTCTACCCAGTGCCAACGAGAAGCAACGCGATTCTAAACAACAGCGGTCTTTTATTCTTGGTTCTTTCGGTAAAGTCACCACGTAGAAGGGAAATAATACAAATAATAGAAATAAAACAATAAAATTCTCACGACGTTTCGATTGCAACACAAGCAATCATAATCAGGTGTGAAAACCACAGCAAGAAAATTTGAAAGAAGTGGCGGCTTTTTCTTAACGTTAAGAAAAAAACGCCACCTTTTGGCATCCTCTGGTCGAGCACCAATTGGGTCGAGGCTCAAAAGAAAGCCGTCCCTTGGTGTGGACCAATCAGTTTCAAGGACAATGCCACATATATTATCATAGTGTGTTTTTCGTTTGCATTTTGACTGCAGGTATTGTGGTTAATGCAGACATTAATCCTTGTAAAAAGGTTTCAGTTTTGTTGCCAGAAAAAAGGGGAAAAAACCCTACTATTAATATGAATCCCTGCAGTCACGAAAGCTTTAAATCGAAATTTAACAGCGGTCTTTTACACTCCTTGGTTAACCATGTTGTTAAATAAGCCATGCATATTGCAAATACTGTACAGTAGCATTTGGCTTGCATTTTAAAAATAATACTGGTGAAGCATAACGAAAATAACAAAACCGGTTTTTTTTAGAATTGTATGCATTGGAATGTTTGGCCACGTTTAAGGAGTGGTTTGCATGGGCACGATGAAACTGGAGAGCCAGGGAAAACCCGACATGTGAGAGGACAAATGTATCCTCCGGTCTGTGTAGTCTGGTTCACCAGCCAATTGTTGTATCTTGGCAACCTCGCGTATCGGTGGTTTTGGGAGGTTTACCAAGATATTCACTGTGGGTGTACGTTAATACACATACAGCTATACATGTGTTCTCACGCGGTGTATAAGGTGTTGAATTTAAAGCAACTCGCCCTGTTTTTTTTTTGTCATACGCCTGCCTTCCCCTGTATTAGTTGCTTTTGCACTGGAGAGCAGGACACACCAAGTAAAGAACATGGAGGAGTGTCCAAGTCTGGAGCAGTCAGGAAAGTATGTGGACCAGGACAAGGAAGAGAAGAACACTGCAGTGCACCCAATGAATGAAGCACAAGAGCAGAGACAGGAAAAGGACTGCAGTTCACAACAAGAATTAGGTGATAATTTTGACAATCTCTCCCCCCAGTTGCCGGTTCGAATGTGTGATGGTGATGATGGCGAAAGTCACAATGGCAAAAATGCCAGCAAAAATAAATGTGGTGACGATGAGGATGGTAAAGCAATCGCTTGCAATATTTGGGGCCGAGAAAAAGTCCAAAGTGTTTGTGGGTCATCTGAGAAGCCTTCTTGAGACATCCTAAGAGCAGCCTCTAAGATTGACCTTGCTGACCAGGGTAGGCCTGTGTTAAATTCTCAGCACGCTCAAAAATATACTATAAAAAATATAATTATCCTTGATCCAGCAGTGGATTGACAAAGGGTTATACGTTATAATGCTATTGTTTTCAACTATTTATCATGTGTGCTGTATTGATATAGATTCCACACATGTGGGCATGCTGACTTTTTTGCGCGTGTGTGTTCCTAGCAGCCCCCGCGCGCACAGACCCTGTCGCCGCCAACCGGTGCTCCGAGTGCAGCAAGTGCTTCCGGAAGCGAAGTCACCTACTGGAGCACATGCGCCTACACTTCCCAGTGCCCTGGCTGGCCTGCTCAGCCTGCGGGCGGCACTTCACGAGCGCGAGCAAGCTGCGGACACACCGCCTGCGCGAGGAAGGCCAGTCCCGACACGCCTGCCCGCACTGCAGCTTCCGAGCTGTTGAGCGTCACTCGCTCAGGTCTGATGGCGTCAGTTTTTCTTTTTGGTCTCTCTGCTGGCTTTTTATTTGATTAACTCGCCCCCTCCCCCAGCGAATCCACGAACTGTCCGAATTTAAGGTCGTGATTTGATTTTAAAAGGCATTCTCTTTTACATCGTTTTTTCCATCTACTAGTTTCTTTCTCATTTGCACAGCATTTCTTCCCCCACTTCTCCTTCGCTTAATTAGCTTACATGAAACAGCAAAACATGCATATAATTAGCATAAAGTGTGTTAATGCGTAATTAAATATTTTGAGAAAAGGTTTTAATTAATTGATTTATTGTTATATGCCTACTTTCTGAGTTTCCTGATATGATTTTCACCATACAGTGCTCAAGTGAGACTGACCAACCGACACGGTTCCTTTCTGTTGCACAGGCGCCACTGTGCGAACGTACACGGCGAGGTGGGCGATGGCGTTGGGAGTGCGCTGTCCGGCCAGCCTGAGGGTTTCGTGTGCTCGTTGTGTGGCCTCGGCTTCTCGCTCAGCCCTGACCTCAAGGCCCACTGGAAAGCAACGCACAAGGGGGTGGTGGATGACGGTGGCACCGGCGGTGGCGGTGGTGGCACCAAGATGACGGTGCCTTTCACTTGCGCCGAGCTGGAGTGTGGATTTGTTACGAGATCAAGGCCCGAGTTTGCGCGGCATGTGAAGGTGCTTAATGCGATATGTTCCGAAAGTTATGTTGCACATATTTTCATTTTTTGAGGAGTGTTTCAGTCATTTATTCTCAGCTTCAAAAATAATGTGTGTTTGAGAGCTGGCATTGGAGATCTCTTTTGAGATCGTTTTCCATTGCCTCAAACTCCTGCCAGGAAGATTTTACATTGCAGTCATTGCAGCTAACATTTATGAAAAATACTCTTTTATAAGCGCACAACTTTATCTATCTGTGATGAACGCTGCACTTTCCGTCGTTTTCATGCAGGGGGCACTTCAAACCTACGCGCCCCCTGCATGAACAATGGAGACGCAGGGACAGACGTTCGATTACGTTGGAATCGATCTGCACACGGCGGTCTTCTCGCACGGCCAGTTCTATTTCGCCTTATCTCGATCCCGCAGTCCCAAAAAGGTGAAAGTCCACATCGAACCGAACCCCCAGCAAGGCAATCTACTTAATGACGAGAGAAAA